CATGATCAAATAAAGCCAAACACGTTTATTTTACAACAAATCCATAAAATAACTTTCATTAAACCTAAGTTCAATACCAAAGTAGAGCCTTCAAAATGCATGATACATACATACATTATACATGTAAACAATAATTGAAACATTCACCCGTACAATTGTCCCTAGGCATATAAGAAATAAAACGCATACGTAAAATACTTTATGGAGTACAAGGGGCTACTCACACTTATTCAGCTCTTGTCCATAGAAAACAACGATTTTGTATGGAGACGTTGGATGTACGCATCCATTCAGCTTTCCGCGTCTATTCTGCTTTCGCGGCAACCCAGCATACAATGAGAATAAATGTGTGTTTATCATGCGAATGCTATAGACAGCGTACAGCGCTGTTCCGCCGCATTCACCGTCGAACGCGGCGAAACAGCTCTTCACATGGATGTTTCGCGACTCCTTGTCGACAAGTTGCGACCTGTATTGTTTCTGCATTGATTTAATTTATTATTGCGTAATCATTACGTACGCAAGGATTAAAGAGTGCAGACGTATTTTATAGTAATAATAACTATTTTATTTTTACGAAATGCAGCATATTCAACGCCGTACGCGGTATACAAGCGTTTCAGCGGAGATAGCACGCTATGACGGCTTTTCTCATTCTTACGACGCCGTACGCGGCTGACAGAAGCAGAGCTGTATAAGTGTGAATAAAATCGTTCAGCGAAACGCGAACGGAGCTGAATAAGTTTGAGTAGTTCCTTAGATATAAAAATTTGCAAACGGCCACACCCGACACTCGACTCGAGCAGGTGACTGTAGCGACCACGCGACACGGGACAATCACCTCATATTTAACCTTTCTTTGCATAATGGTGGAAATTTCCATCATAACATTGAATGCCCAAAAATTATATAAAAGAACAAGTTCACTTTAAGTTGATCGTGTCTGGACACCTTTTTAATGTCCATTGCAGAAAAAAAAACATAGCTGTCAAATTTATTTTCTTAACCATTTTTCCTTAATTTTGAACATGAATTATATCACCAATAAAAAAAATCATGCAAAGAAGGGTTAAAACAATTTGCTTCTATATTTTTGAAAAGAAAAAACAATTTCATAAAATTAATATACCCAGCAATTAATAAATAACTTTGTCAATTTGTACTAATGTTTATTTTGACTGCTTCATCCTCATCCCACTAGCCTTATCCCAATTATTATTTGGGATCGACGTAATTTGGTTTTATCCATATTACCAAAGGATTTGGCTTACAGTTTTACAACCGGTCGTTTTGCAACCTGCTTGACGTCAACCCTCTTTTATTTTTACTGAATAAAACAAAAATATATAAAATTTGGCTCACAAATGGTGAACATGTCGTATCACATTTCAAAATGCATAAATAAATCGAGAATCCCTTTATAAAAATCAGTATAGTCTATGGACTGCTACACACTGTTTCTACTGTGAAGCAGTAGTGTTTGCGTGGCTGTGTTTCGATTTGAAGGGTGGGATATGGCGTGAATTTACTGGGTACGGAGGAATAACACCCGAGTCCTCAGGAATGGCAACGTATGGGGGGTATCATGGGCGAAACAGTATACTCTGTTATGTCCATGGTACTGCTCATGTCTATAGGCGACGGTTACCACTTTCCATCAGGTGCGCCGTCAGCTAGTTTGCCATTGTAAGTTGTACAAAAAAAAGAATACTCGGAAGCGACGTCTTTAACAAACAGTAGATTGCATGTCTACGAATATTAAGAATTATTTGCATGTTTTATTTTTTATAAACCTACTGTTTTGTCAAATTAACGGTATTGTTAACAAAAAGCCGCATGGTCCTGGCATAGAATAGGCCACCCTTTCTTTTCCCGCAGGTGTGGTAACTAAGGGAACTTAATGGTAGAGGGATGAGCATTAGCGTCCCTTTTAAAACATCTCTGAAAGCCTAACTGCGGTTGCTAACCCGTTTGCCAAAGGTGGTAACTGTTGACAAAACTCCCCTTATGGAGAAATATTATGAGAAAAGAGGGAATATTGAAAAAAAATAATAAACTGACTGCTTTTATATGTCGTATTTCCCTTTACCTCCCCCCCCCATAAATATTGTATATTAATTGCAATAGTGTAATTCGTCCCAAAGAGGGTTGACGTCAGGCAGGTGGCCGGTCGTAAAACTAAAAACCAAGTCTTTTTGTAATATGGATAAAATCATATTACGCCGAGCCCAAATGGTTGGGATAAGGGTAGGAAGATGAAGAGTGTAATTCGTCCCGTGCCCACCGTGGCAGCACCAGTCTGTTGATAATCGTTTACAGATACATTATATACTATACTTACATTACAACTACTATTTTAGACAAAATGTCAACAAGGTCGCGGTTTATACACATATTTTGATTTCTTAGATAAAATAGAAAAAAAAACAGCTACAAATTGTAATGCTTAATTAAAAAAATCAAAATTTAGGCGCTTTCACTGTGACATTGGGTGATATTCCATCATTTTGCGATTACGACCGAGAGTGGTAGACTCATCCGAACTGAACCGTTCGGTTGAGTCGCCACTTCTCAACATGTCATCTCCAACTGTTTACTAAAATAATATTATTTAAATATTTATACCTGCCGTTATGTTAAGTGTAGCGACTCAACCGCACGAGCGAGATCATGTGAGTCGAGTCAACCCATAAATCCTGTAGTTACAGAAGTTTTATGACTCATAATTTTTTTTTAAACCACAACGTGACTTCTATTATATATAATATCAAGTTAGTTCGAAATTTAAAATGATTGATAAATGAGTTTAAATTTCAAACTAATGTATATCCTTTGGAATTCGTTACTTCTATTATATATAATATCAAGTTAGTTCGAAATTTAAAATTATCGATTAATAAGTTTAAATTTCAAACTAATATATATCCTTTGGAATTCTCATCATACTTTAATTATTTCTTAAAGTCCACTTCAGTTCGTCATCACACATTCTAGAATTCTTAGATCGTCTATAAATTATTTCAAAGGAAAAATCAAGCGAAATCGCGTGGTGGCATTTGTCACGTAATAGCGTGACATATTTCAGAGTATTACTTTGATTGGAAAATGACGCTGAATGAGTGAATCGTTACAAGTCATTACTTATATAAAATCGCTGAACATCACGAACAAAGCAGCTGACTAGACGATAATCACATAATATTGTCAACGGAACAAAAATATTTGGTGTTATATCACTTTACACACGTGGGTCTCAACCGTAACATTGCTGTAGGCATATATATATATATATATATATATATATATATATATATATATATATATATATATATATATATATATATATATATATATATATATATATATATATATATATATATATATATATATATATATATATCATATTCAGTTGCTATATGTACATTTATGGAATGTTTGCCATATGTAATATTCATTATATTTTGTGATAATAACATATTTTTATCAATCAACGATAATCACTCTGTATTTCATAGCGATGTTTTATTTATACTCGTACAGTATGTTAGTTAACACAACCCATTCCTTGTAACTAGAGCTAGTGTTCATTAAAAAAAAATTGAAAAAAAAATTTTACTACAAAATAAATAAAAAAAAAAATTAATATTCTCCAATAAAAAAAAAAAAAAAAAAAAACAACCTGTGTCTGTATAAACGACGCTATATAGTACAAGATATATACATACATAATGCCGTTGATAAAGATATTGGTTGTAGGCATGTGTAATATGGATACCGATCCGATATCTATATATTGGGTTCCTCTGCACATTGATGGCCGTTAAAAGGTCATCATCCATTTCGATATCAGTCGGATATTTATTTTGAAAATATGTTTAAAGTCTGTTATCCAATATTATTTTTTTGATAACAGACCTTTAACATATTCGTTATTGGATCAGAATATAGATATTGTAACTATATATTAACTAATAACAAATAACTAATAGGTTGTTCTTTTTTTGAGTATTTTAATTTATTTTATTCTTTTGATATTTATACATGATACCTATCTAGATAAATGTTTCTAATGGAATAAATTTAAATAGTTAAAACTACTGTGTAGTTAATATAATATGTTTAAATTATGCAATATTTTAATATCATACTAATGCACATTTCAAACCATATTTATAAGTATAAACCTATTCATTATAGGAATATTCTTTATTTCTTCTAATGAAAATGATATTAATGATTTTATTCTTTTTGATAATATAAAAATATTTTATAGAAAGAAATAATATTTTTTTTTAAACCTTAGTAACTGGTATTAGGGGGGGGGGAAGGGATTGTTAGCAATGGATTTTGACAGCCCCATTGCTAGCAATATGCCTTATTAGGTCGACCTCCACGTGGTTCCCCCTGGAAACCATCGTGTACAATTCTTGTTGAATTCGTCACGATGGGCTAACTGACCTGCTTCATCCTCACCTGTCATCCTTCACTGGTGCCCCGCCGGTGTATACCGATAGCGCGGGTGGGGTTACCATTCCATTATCATCCATTAAAAAAAACTGGTATTAGGATTACTAACACCAGTTACAAATAGCGGGTTACGTTAAAAAACAATACTGCATACTGGTCACTCCTAGTCCATACATTTACATATGACAAACGTAACACATATCTCATTTGATGAGGCTATATTATAAAAAGTTGTGTAACGTACGTATCAAATTATAAAATGACACACTGTCAAACATCTAACGCGCTAATACACCTATATAATATTCTCTCGTCCACCGGAGCTATACAAAAAAGCTTACAAAATCAACCAAAACGCCTACTCAATATATAAATTTATATATATTATAATATATTAGAAGCAATTCAATATATTACAGGTTGGTATTACAAAGCACGAGAGTGTTATGCCACTATGCCACTGCACTTGGCACGCTTCCGGTCATTTAAACATTACATATATCATACCATTGTCACATATATATATATTATATATTTATTATTTGAAAATATTAATATTTAAAATATAAATCTATGTATTTTCAGCACATTAAAAATATTATAAACAGCCTTCTGATCGATAATTTAAAAGTATATATTTACTAGATGATTCCAATCTTTTTAAATTTACATTCTAAACACTCGAATGAATTATCACATTTTTTTTTTAAATTTTCATTCAAAATAATAATTTGCTTCTCTAATTCGTGTCGAAAATTTATCTAATTCAACGTATATAATCATTAATTACCTTGGACTTGGAAATTTTTGTATAAATTAATAAATTTATTTTCTAAACTATGCAAATATTAACCAGAAGTTGCCAAGTGTGGTGCCGATCAACGGAATAATTAAACATGTTGGTGTCAATGCATTTACAGTCGTGAACTTTAAGTTTAAACACTTTTCGATGCATCAAAGCAGATATCCTTAATAAGTTTACATATCCATGAAAAGTTATAAATAATGAATGAATTAATAAATAATTTAATTAATCCAATCTCGTCGATGAACTTGTAATTAAACATTTGGACTATGTTTAATTGAGATATTAATTTTAAACTAATTCAAAATTAATTTCGAAAATTTCAACTACCCACTATTATGAGAAACTTTATTTTTTTATTTAAATCATATTTCCAACGCCATAGAGTTCAAATTTAAACTTGACGACTGTAATTGCCACTTCACTAAGTTAATACGATAGAAATATTTTAAACGCTCGATATAAGAGCTATGTAATTTCTGTCACATTAATCTAGGCTTGTTTACATGAAGGTGGACACCGCTAGTGCTCCGGGTCTGCTTCAGCCGTCTCCGTCTGCGCGAACTTCAGGAACACCTGCTCAAGGGTTGTCTGGCTGAAACTGTACTCCACTATGTTCAGCTTCTCTTTTGCTGTTGAAAAGAATTACCATATTATAGGCGGTATTGATATCGTAGGGCTTTTATAGTTGTACTATGATAAGACAGTAAATTTTACTTGTATGCGGCAGTTACCACTTTCCATCAGGTGGGCCGTCAGCTTGTTTGCCATTCTAAGTTGTATATAAAAAAGGCCAGTTTTTTTTATAGTAAATCTACATCTGACCACACCATTATATCTTTTAAAAATAATATAATTAATAAGGCTATCTCGGTACTGACCATCCTCGATTTGCTGAAAGCACCTGGCCAGGCTGGAGACGGAGGACTGCGGCACGGAGAACACGAGCCGCTCGGCGAAGCTCTCCTCGAGCACGGCGGCCGGGAACAGCTGTGCCACCAGCGCGATCGCCGCCTCCGCGCCCGCGCCGCCGCCGCTCGACTCCGTCCTGTTCGTTATTCATACATTACCAGCCACTCGCTCCGACTTCATCATCATCGTTAACTGCCCACCCCCGAACTGGTTTGTGAGTAGTTGTTACGCTTGGCAGGTGGATTTTTTAATGGCTGATAATGAAATGGTAACCCCGCCTGCGCTATCGTTATACGTTGGCGAGGCACCAGTGCGGCGTGACAAGCGAGGACGAAAAGGCAGGTCAGTTAGCCCATCGTGACGAATCCATTAGAATAGAATTCGTTAGAATAAACTACGATAGTTTCCAGGGGGAACCGCGTGGAGGTCGACTTAATAGGGTAATTGATAGAAATTAGACCCACTACTACTAACAATCCCTTTCCCCCCCTGACAGGCGAGTTGGCAACCGCAGTAAGGGTATTGGTAATGTTTTAAGAAAGACGCTACTTCCTATCCCTCGACTATTAAGGTCCCAAAGGCGGGAAAGGAAGAGGTAATCTATACTATGCCGGGACCATACGGCAACTGGCATACGGCTCTGATTTAACAGTAGAACATTCTACACATAGTCCAACACAGACATTCTGATAATGAAATTATCTATAGGTCATTTTTTGAAATCAGTTACGTATTTTTTTTTTGTTTATCCACTAAATCCAAGAGATATCTTTCCTTTTTATTACACTATTAATTAAGATTTAAATATATGCATATAGTATGTTATGTATGTCTCTTATTGGGGTAGGCAGAGACAATATAACTGAATGCTCCAATTCACACAAGTTTCCTTCGTTTCCTTCATATTTATCAAATTCAACAAGTCCGCCAGTTACAAGCACTTATAACTGGTCCCCTTTCAGGGTTTCATGTAAGTTAATTGTTCGACATACATATTTTTTTTATTAAAATGTAATAATAAACAATGTAATATTAAGTCGAACCTGTGATGGTGTTGTCGAGGCGGAGGTGGTGTGCCGGCTACTAGCGGTGTGTGTATGCTCACGTCCACCGCTTCCGCCTCCGCTTCCGCTTCTGCTTCGCCCTCCGCCTCAGCACACACTGAGCCCTCGCCCGAACCACCTGAAGCATTACAAAAAATTACATCGTCAAGTTGGTTTACGTAGGTAACTGTTATTTCGAACTATATGATGTCTCATCATCATCGTCATATCAGGCTTTAACTGTCCACTGCTGAACATAAGCCTCCCTCTTGGCAGGTTTTGCCAGTAGTCCCAATGGTCCTGGGGGATGTGCTTATATACCGGCGCATCCCCCGAGTGGTAGGGTGAGCACGCCATTCACCCTATCTTGAGAGAGGAGACCTGCTCTTACCATCAAGGGGCGGGTCGCTGCCGTCGGAGATGTGGTGAGTGCGAAAGCGAACCCATGTCTCCGACATATGGCACCTCGAGGGTATATCGTCTGGTTTTTGGTGGGTACACCCCCACCTTACGAGAGATAAAGCATTTTCCAGACGTTAAAAAAAAAATGGTTTTGCCAGTAGTTGCCACGCTTGGCAGGCGGATTGACAACCGAATTCAGTACAAGAGAGATGCTGCTGCCCATGCTTCGCTCTCCCTTAGTCGCCTCTTCCGACACCCACGGGAAAGGAAGGAGTGGCCTATTATATGCCGGGACCACACGGCTGTCTTACTACAGATTTTTTTTTAAACTATTTTATCAACCATTAATGTCCCTCTACTGGGCATGGTTCACTTTATAAGAGGAGGATATTGCTTTTATTACGTTGGCTGGACGGCTTGGTATACAATTTCATTTAGAGACTTCATTATTGTGCAATATTTTTATGATACTCAGACAGGAGAACAAACTGACAGCCCACCTGATGGCAAGAAACTGTCGCTCATAGACATAAACATCACCATTGTCATCATAGAATATACTGTGATGCCCATGGTATCCTTCACGCGTTCCCTGTTGTTTTCGGAGTGGATTGAAAAACATTTGCATAAGTACCCTCGTCAGCTTCTCCCAGCGATGGCGAATTCTCAGCAGACCGAAGCGGCGACGGTGACATGGACAACTCGGGGTCCAGCATCTGAAAATTATTATAGTATGATAACTTAAATGGTTAATTCACTAACTTATTTATAATGTTGACAAAATTTAATAAAAATAGACACATTAAAATGTCTCAAAAGACTTAACCGCGGTTGCCAATCCGCCTGCCAAGCGTGGCAACTACTGGCAAAACCCCCCAATGGTAAACACTGCAAAGAAACGGCCCCCGGTTCTCGGTGGCTCCGCTATTCCTGGCGGGGATGCGGGTGGCTCGTGACCGTTCTTTATGGCAGTTTATGGGGGAGGTTTATGTCCATAATATAAATAATATAATAAATCCGAATAATGGCTGAAATGACGATGAGACGCGGTGTAATACAGATTTAGCTATAAGATTCATTAACTACATAATAATCTAATTAATTTATTACTCTGAGTGGGTAACGTGCCTGCTATTGGTAACCTAATGCAGAAATAGGACCCTTTTGTATATTGTTTTATGGACAATAAATGTTTTTTTTTTATTCTATTAGTTAAACGTTATGGTAAAAAAATTGGAAAAAGTATTTAGGAGATATTAGTTGACGATTACTTTAAAATTTATTATATAATAGAGACGCCCAGTTTTTTTTTTTTATTTATAATAATTTAAAAATATTCGCGAGTGAGACTTTAATAAAATAAAACTTTGGTGTCACTTGCCCCATGGGGCTACTGGGACGGAATAAAGTTGCCAACATGGGACAACACAATGGGGTAATGTGGGACAGAGAAAATAATTTGTAACTGAATTATAAAGGGGGAGGAGAGAAGGGATTGTCAGTAATGGGTATTAGCAATCCCGTTGATGGCAATATATCATGTCAGGTTGACCTCCATGCGGTTCCCCCTAGAAACCATCGTGGTTTATTCTTGTTAAATTCATCACGATGGGCTAAATGACCTGTTTTATCATCATCATCATCTATCATCCCTCACTGGTGCCCCGCCAACGTATACTGTAAATTCACTGCCATATCTCACCCTTCAAACCGAAACACAGCCATGCAAACAAAACTGCTTCACGGTTGAAACACGAATGGGACAGAGGTACCCAAGCAAACGACTTTTAGTACTATAGCCTGTACTTTACTGTAGCTTGTGAGTGCCTGAGACGATAAGGTCATTACGTGTAGAGACCCTATTTTTAAGTGACCATCGCCGCCCATGATCACCCGCAACACCAGAGGCATTGCAGGTGTGCTGCCGGTTTTTTAAAAAGAAATATGCTCTTTTCTTGAAGGTTATAGTTTTTTTTTATACAATTTAGAATGGCAAACAAGCTGACAGTCCACCTGATGGAAAGTGGTAACCGTCGCCTATAGACATGAGCAGTACCATGGACATAAGTGAGTATACTGTTTCGCCCATGATATCCCCCACGCGTTGCCATTCCTGAGGACTCAGGTGTTATTGCTCTGTACCCTGTAAATTCACGCCATATCCCACCCTTCAAACCGAAACACAGCCATACAAACACAACTGCTTCACAGTAGAAACACGAATGGGACAGAGGTACTCAAGCAATCGACTTTTGTACAAAGTTTCCCTCAGGTATGTGTATCCGTTCGGAAATACTACTGCTCGATGACTTATTATTTCAGCCCTGCTGATGATAAGCTAGATAAGGAATCACGCGGACACTTGACAATGTTAGCATCAGAAAAATAACTCTAAAAGAATAGGATCAAAACAAAAAAAAAAAAAAAAACAATTTCGTGTATAATATAGTATATGTCATATATGTGTAAGTATATTTGTTATTTACATATATTTATTCGTTTATATATGTAAATTTAGTATGTATGTATATCAATAATTACTAGTACCGCATTCGAGTATTCTGACACTTCCCTATGGTTGACTGGGAGAGAATGCTTTTAGCATTAAGTCCGCCATGTACACATATATGTAATAATGAATAAATAAATAAATAAATAAAACTAGTAAATTAATAAAATTTTAACTACTAGGGAATATTAGGTAACGGGTTTTGTAACTTGATCGGTGTGGAAATAGGCATGCTTAACGGGTAAGGGCACTGACCCCGGCACGGTGAAGGTACCTCAATTTAGGTACCCACCATAGATTTAATATATTCAACAATGTAAAATGTTATTGTGTCATAATTTAACTTTAATACATATACAGATGTCTAAAAATTGTATGTACACTCTACACTAATATTATAAAGAGGAAAGATTTGTATTTTTGTATGTATGTATGTTCGTAATGAATAAACTCAAAAACTACTTTGCCGATTTAAAAAATTCTTCAAAAAATTCACCATTATAAAGCTACATTCACCCCGAGTAACATGAGCTATATTTATTGCTAGAAAAGATTAGGGATCCTTACTAAAAATTTAGTAACGTAACTCGAGGTGTAAAAAAAACGCTATAAAATATCTTTTGTCGCGTGCGCTGTGGAAACTATTGGTGATATAACAAAAGATATGTTCTACAATATCGAAGAAAATATCAATAACTACAAAAAACTTCGCGATACTATATGTCCAACTATTATCGTTATGTCACAATAACCACTTTTTAAAATGTTGTAAAAATGTCCACCCGTGCGAAGCCGGAACGGGCCGTTACTACTTTATAAAGGTTTTTTAAAGAATTTCAATTTGAATTTTACCCAATTAATGGATTCATATATTTACTTAGAGAGAATTATTAAGGATTGTGTCCCACGAAAACAATCTACTTCAATTGTGGTAAATTACTGAACCGATATTGATAAAATGCCTGTATAAACTATACGTACGTCTGCTGAAGCCCTTAATGGGTAGGGAGGAAAAGGATTCAATGGAGTATTGCTAGCAATATAGATCTCCACGAAACAATCGTGAACAATTCTTGTTGAATTCGTCACGATAGGCTAACTGACTTGCTTCATACTCACCTATCATCCTTCACTGGTGCCCCGCCGGTGTATACCGATAGCGCGGGTGGGGTTACCATTCCATTATCACCCATAAAAAAACCCTTAATGTGATTTGCTTGAATGCAATACACTTACCGACTTCTGATTGTTCTGACCTATCTTCATCTCCAACGTGTACCCTGCGCCGTACAGATTCTTCAGGTGTTGCGTTGACCCGATACATCTGGAAGGGGGGCAAGGAATTGTTAAAAATGGGATCTCGCGTTTCCATTATTAGCCATATAGGTTATATTAGCGTTCAAGTCGACCTTTCCGTCGCTCTTGAAACCACCATCATTTTTTTTTATTCAATTACAATGGCAAAAAAGAAAACGGCCCACCTGATGGAAAGTGGTAACCGTCACCTGTAGACACGAGCAATACCATGGACATAACAGAGTATACTGTTTCGCCCATGATACCCCCCATGCGTTGCCATTCCTGAGGACTCAGGTGTGGTATTCCTCTGTACCCAGTAAATTCACGCCATATCCCACCATTCAAACTGAAACACAGTCATGCAAACACAACTGCTTTGCGGTAGAAACTATAAATATAAATAAAATATAGATATTAGGTTATACTAAAATGTACAGAGGCGGCGTTAAACTTCATTTGACTGATGAAATCGGGTCAGATGATCTCACGTAATGAATTCACAAAGGGACTGGCTGAAGACCAGCGCTGTGCAGCTGTACACACTGCACTGGGACACTCGCAGCATCAGCTGAGCCAGTTCCTTTTGCCTAATATGAGACTTATATATGTACTTTCTGTATTTTCACTTGTTGTCTTTTAGTGACCAAAAATTCTACTGAGAAACAGTTGCGTTTGCATGGCTGTGTTTCGGTTACCACTTTCTATCAGGTGGGCCGTCAGCTTGTTTGCCATTCTAAGTTGTATAAAAAAATAATATTATAAATGAATGTACAAAAACATATAAATAAATAAATAAACTATCACATTACATCTTCCTAGTACCCTATCAGAATAAACTAACAGTGCAGGTAAAATTACCATTTTTATTAAATAAATTAATGACATTTTATACTGTCGAGGATTTTCCAAGACTACAGCATGGGGTTCTTAAAAAAAGGGCTAAAGATGTTTCTTCAGGGTCGGCAATGTACGCGTAATACCTCAGTATTGTAGGCGTTCATATGCTACGGTAACTGCTTACCATCAGGCGGGCCGTATGCTTGTTTGTCACCTCAGATTACGACTAACTATATGGGATTTAAGTCATGACTAGTTGCCATGACTCAAATTTTATACGATTGACAACAATTTACTATCTATTTCACTAGTAACATTAGATTTAACCGTTTTTTACTTAAGCCTCACACTTTCCACCAATCTTTCACTTATTTTTATCGATGGTGTAATAATCCTTACTAATATTATAAATGTGTAAATTTGTTTGTTTGTTAACTCTTGGCATCTACTTGTATGTATGTCTACATACATGCACAATGTGTATTTTATGAAATTGCTGTATTTGTCGTTTCTGATAAATATTTTGGTTTTGATAAACATACAAAAGTTCATAACATTCTCATCGAGCATTTATACAGTCATTATTTAAAAATTTAACATAAATTTTTAAAATAAAAATAATATCACTGTTGATGTCCTAACTCAATTTCGCGGCATGCAATTTGGAACACACATAGTTTTTAGAACAAAAAAAGAGCATAGGGTAACTTTTATCCCGGTCAATCAACATATTATATTGGTTACGCAGGCGAAGTCACAGTTAAAAACTAGTCATTAGTATCTCACCTTAAACTGCCTTTCACCATAATTCCAACTCTTGAACATAAAGCATCAGCCTCTTCCATGGAATGTGTTGTCAGGATAGCACCTTTTTTGCCCTGGGCAAATACAATAAATCCATACTAATAATATACAAACAAAATATATGATCACTGTATGGTCCCGGCATAGAATGGGCCACCCCTTTACCCGTCTTAAGAAGTGGCTAAGGGAATTTAATGATCGAACGATGGGCAGTAGCATTCCTCTTAAAACAAAGCCTAACTACGGGTGCCAATTGTATCCCGGACACAATAATATCCAAACGCCCATAGTACCTACTCCTGATGCGTTACCATTCCTGAGGTCTAACATCTCCTGAACCCTCAATTTCATTGCATACCTCTCCACTCTTGCTTTCTTATTCTTGATTATTCTATATGTTATGCTTGTAACTTCACTGCAATATTCACTCTTTAAATGGAATACAATCGTGCAAGCACAGAGTCTTGGTGGTAGAAACACGAGTGGGATAGAGGTATGCAGACGAGAGAGCTTATTATAAGATTCATTATCATCATCATTATTTCATTCCTTATCCGTCCACTGTTGAACATAGGCCTCCCCCATAGACTGCCATAAGGAACGGTCCAGAACCACCAGCATTCACTGACTCTCTGCAATGTATTCGATATCGTCACTCCATCTAGTGGGGAATCATCCTAGACTGTAAGATTAGCTTTACTAAATGGAGATGTACAAAAATGTTGTTATTGTACATATTTTATATTGGACATGACAAAAATCTAATATAATAGAAGATTTATCCCAAGGAAGGATCTTTGATAAATAACCAACTAGTAGCTGAAAGGAATCCTTAGAATGTTGAAAGGTTCAACATTGTACAGTCGAAAAGGAACCGACCTGGAAGCTGGCCAGGATGGTGTCCCACAGGAACCTCTTGCTCCTCGGGTCCATGCCGGTGGAGGGCTCGTCCAGCAGCACCACCTTGGGGTTGCCCACCATTGCCAGCGCGAACGACAGCTTCCGCTTGGTCCCGCCCGAGCACTCGTCTGCGTGCTTGCCGGCGTGCTCCATTATTTGCAGCCCGTTCAGATACGCGTCCACTATTCTGGTGGTTGGATATTTTTTTTTAACTTGACTAAAAAGGAAAATATCTAATGTTTTTGGGTTAATTGATTATATTGGTATAGAGCAAGCGGGGTTACCGTCAAGTGATATACGCTAGTAGGACACCAGTGATGGCGAGGATGGCAACATGTTAGCTCATTGTAAAAGATTCTGCATAGAAATCAACTTGACAGAGTAGATTATATAATATATAATATGGTCTTTTTATTAAGGGACCTATGATTCCCTTTGCTTTGAAGTCGTAATGTGCTTTGCTTACGGAATACGCATAGGCATTAAAGTTTGCTATTCGATATGGTTTAGATTTGTTTACCTAATTATGTTATGTAAATATCAAAAGAAATAAAAAATGAAACGTAAGAAGGAAGCTGTTAGAAAATATATGGAGTGAGGGGTGGCAGTTTTTCAACTCTGATCGAAGACTTAGAGGCGCAGATTAAGAATAAGGTGGAAGCATGTAAAGATACACTCTGATGTTTCTGAATACGACGTCGAGGTTATTATGAAAGCAAACCGGAAAAGCTGATCCCATTAACATATGGGATGCATAGCTAGGAGGAAAGAGAGAAAGAGAGAGAGAGAGTATCCGGATATCTATAGTTACATGACGCAAGTAATATACGGCGGCTACAAGAAGTAAAATATTGTGAAATTTATTGTTGGGATTTATTGTAATTGCTCCGAACACTTGTCGACTTGTTGACATTTACACTGCTAAATGGAGTAGAAAGACGTGAGATAGAAGTAGACTAAGCACAACACTTTGTGTTTAGTCTCCTTCTGGTGATAATTAGTTAAGAGCTGCAGCCTCACCTGGGTGTGTCACTCTTGCTGACGCCCCGGATGGCTGCGTAGCACTCGATGTGCTCCCGAATGGTGACGTTCTTCCAGAGCGCGTCGTGCTGCGGACAGTAGCCCAGCATTTGGAATGCAGACGTCTGCGCCTCGTCCACGTTCTGTCCGCCCAGCATCACCTGCAGGAGGAAGTAGAGTGATACTCCTATAATTAGATAAATTTTCCTTCACAGCAGGATTTTTTTTATACAACTTAGAATGGCAAACAAGCTGAAGGCCCATCTGATGGAAAGTGGTAACCGTCGCCTATAGACATGAGCAGTACCATGGACATAACAGAGTATACTGTTTCGCCCATGATACCCTCCATGCGTTGCCATTCCTGAGGACTCAGGTGTTAGTATTATTATATTAGTGCATGACTGTGTTTCGGTTTGAAGGGCGTGATATGGCGTGAATTTACTGGGTACAGAGGAATAACACCTGAGTCCTCAGGAATGGCAACGCATGGGGGTATCATGGGCGAAGAATATATCTTTTTAGATAACCTAATATATTGCTAATAACCTATTGCAAGCATATACTTCTTATGACTAATCTCCATGGGCCTTCTCTGGTGACCATCGTGGATTCTTAGTGAAATTGTCATACTCTGTTATGTCCATGGTACTGCTCATGTCTATAAGCGACGGTTACCACTTTCCATCAGGTGGGCCGTCAGCTTGTTTGCCATTCTAAGTAGTATAAAAAAAAGGTCCGATACCCAGGTGGATATTCTGGATCGTGCTCCTCCCTGGTGCCTCGTAACCCTTATAATGATTAGTGTGGTGAGGAGTGCAGACTCACAGCGCCGCAGGTGGGCCGCTCCTCGGCGGTGATGATCTTCATGGTGGTGGTCTTGCCGGCGCCGTTGTGTCCGAGCAGGCCGAACACCTCGCCGCCGTGCACGGCCAGGCTGAGCCGCGCCAGCCCCGCGCGCCGCCCGCCCGCCGCGCCGCCCGCCGCCGCAGCCGCCCGCGCCGCCGCCGCCGCAGCACCCGCTCGTGCCGGTGCCGCGCACCTTGTACTCCTTGCGGAGGTTCTGTTCCAAATTTACAGTGATAACGTAACACTTACGACTGTATTTATGGTACTTACTCAGTGATTACGAAGTATTGAAATATCTTGCTACAGAGAATCGTCGGACAATGACGCAGAAGGAAAGAAAGATGCTTGAGGCATTCGAAATGTGGATGGACATGGAGGAGAATGGAAAGGATAAGCTGGACAGAAAAACTAACGAACGAGGAAGTCCTAAAAAGAGTGAACGAGAAGAGAACATTGGTTGAAATAATAAAGAATAGAAGAGGCAAAATGCTGGGCCACCTTATACAACATGACGATTTTTTTAAGAGCATAATAGAAGAAAAGATAGAGGGCAAAAGAGGAAGAGGAAGACCGAGGATTAACTACATGGGACAGATAAAGGAAACACTAGGCGTCATGTCGTATAGGGAGATAAAGGATATGGTCTGGGATAGAGCTGGCTGGAGGAAGATGCATGAATTAGTTGCACCGACAAGAGGAAACTCTTAAATAAAAAGAAGAAGAGAATATTAGCTATTAACTGTCCACTGCTGAACATCAGCTTCCTCCATAAGGGAGGTTTTCCAGAAGTCGTCACGCTTGGTAGGTGGATTAACAACCACAGTTAGGTCTTGGTGATGTTTTAATACGGGACGTTGCTATCCATCCTTCGATTATTATGCTTCCTTAGTCGCTTCTTACGACACCCATGGGAAAGGAAGGTGTGGTTTATTCTATGCCGGAACTACACAGCAATAGAGAGTACAGGCTACAAAATGCCTAATATAAGGTTTTTATGACAATAGATTGTTAGCAACGAAGTTTGACAGCTGCATTGCTGGCAATATGCCCTATTAGGTCGACCTCAACGTGGTTCCCCCTGGAAACCATCGTGAACAATTCTTGTTGAACTCGTCACGATGGGCTAACTGACCTGCTTCACTCTCACCTATCATCCCTCACTGGTGCCCCGCCGGTGTATACCGATAGCGCGGGTGGGGTTAACGTTTCATTATCACTAATTATAAAAAAAAAAACTCACATGCACGACGAGAACGGGCGCGTTCTGCGACGGCTGATTCAGTATGTTGGCGACGCGGCGCCGTTCACGTCTCACGTCCTCGTCTTCTCCCACTTCTCCGCCGGCGTCTGCTTCGAGATCGTTTTTGCTCTCTGATGCTTTACGACCACGCTGTGATAATAATAATAATAATTTTATTTGCTACGATTTTGGGTATAAAATATTTGGTCTTATAAAAAAAACCATTTGGACGAGTAGCGGTCCTCCACCGTGCGTTTTTTAAGGCACTTTCTCCTACGCACAACCACTCTTTGGAATCAACTTCCAGCAGTAGTATTTCCGAACCGATACGACAACATAACCTTCAAGAAAAGAGCATATTCCCTTTTAAAAGGTCGGCAGCACACCTGCAATGTCGTTGGTGTTGTGGGTGATCATGGGCGGCGGTAGTCACTTACCATCAGGTGAGCCGCATGCTCGTTTGCCCCCTGTGTTCTAAAAACAAACCCTAACAAAATCTACTTGGGTCAAGCGTGCAAATATTGAAAAAATTGAATTACAATAACTTCATTTTAAAAAATTTTGCAGCATTTAAACATTACGAAATTATATAATAATAACATAATATTAATTAAAATATAAAAAGGAATGTTATACAATTTATTTTATTCAGTCAATTAGTTTAAATAGTCAAAATAAATAATATAACAATTGGATATCAGATAGTCAACAATAAAAATGAGATGTACTAATAGACGTGAATATAAATTTAGGTGGATAGATAAACGCTTTATTGTTCCGTTCAAAAGATACCTATAAAGTTTAGCAGAATCAGAAATTACAAGATCATGCAGTGAAAATAATGGGCAGTCTCGTTTCTAGAAACGATCTCTATCAGCCAAGATGTGCTGTTTAGCATTATATATATCATCCAACTTTTGTATCTGTGATGTATGTGGATAGGGGTGAAACGGATTGTTAGTAATGGAGACTGAGAATCCCATTGCTAGCAATATACCCAACCAGGTCGATCTCCTCGCGGTTACACCTGGAAACTATCATGGTTAATTCCTGATGAATTCATCATAATGGGCTAACTGGCCTGTTTTCATTCTCATCTATCACCCTTCACTGGTGCTCCGCCAGCGTATCCCGTTAGCGCAGGCGGGGTAACCATACCATTTTCACTCATCAAAAAAAAAGATGTATGTGGGTATACCTAGATTTTTATAATAATTATATTTGGCGGGTAACCGTTTTTGTTTACAAATAGAAGTGATCCGATCTAAGTGCGTTTTATTTCTCTCCGTCATATTAATACGTAGAGGCGGTAAAAACCTATCAAACAGTAAAGTGTCATATACTATTCTTGGTCAATGAATTTTTAAATAAATAAATTCTGTTGTTAAAATAATCGTAAGTCCACATTATATTTTAATGTTCTAACCACCGGTTTAATTTACGTGTAATTAGATCGAGAAAGCTCGACTAAATTCGGGACCAATTCTTGATCTTTAATCATGAGCCTGCTGAGTTCGGAATTCGAAGAGACCCGAGCGCCGTTTATTTTATCTGTGACGGTGCCGCAATTGCCTAAATTTCGCGTTTAGCGAGCCAGGTGCGTAGTCAGGCTCGCGCTCGCGTAACAGCTGCTTGTGATTACGGATCACGAATTGATCTCAAAACTAGTTGCGCTTTCTCATTCTAATTACACGTAACTTAAACTGGTAGTTAAATAGATAGATACTCTTTATTGGTTCCTCCAAAAGATTGCAGTAGTAAACTTAATATGGATACAAACAATTACAAGAAATGATCACACTAAGAAAGCAATGGGCGGCCTTATCGCTAAAAGCGATCTCTTGCAGGCAATTTTTCGATGGAGAGGAGTAATTATAAACAGTTTGGGACATTAAAATCAATTGTGGTTACAAAGAATATCTCTTGAAAGCTGTAACGAAACGTGTTCAAGGCGGGGAGTATGGTTGCGAGTACCGACCGAGCATATCCGGCCGCCGGACTTGAGGCGGTCGGCGGCGAGCAGCGCGGCGCCGCAGAGCGGCACGTGCAGTAGCATGGCCGCCACCAGCACGCACACCTCCGCCGTCAGGTACTGCGCCAGCGCCGGCTGCGGGCACAGCCCGCGCAGGTTGCACGTCAGGTACACCCTGCGCCACGACGGCACAAAACAAGTGCACGATTAACAAGTTTAGCATTTCACACTAATATTATCGTTACGTTGTTATTATTTCAGCCGTTAACTGTCCACTGCTGAACATAAGTCTTCTCCATAAGGGGAATTTTGCCAGTAGTTGCTACGCTTGGCAGGCGGGTTGGCAACCGCAGTTACGCTTTTAGAGATATAAGGATGGAATACTTTCTAACTCAAAACCACTATCACTACAAACAAACAAAGTCGCTGTCGCTGTCTGTCCGTCCTTATGTATGCTTAGATATTTAAAACTACGCAACGGATGTTGAAGCGGTTTTCTTTTTAATAGATAGAGTGTGTCAAGAGGCAGGTTTATATGTATAATACATGTATAATATAGTAAAGAAACACTGATAATTTTAGAAGTTTCTAATGTGAAGTCAATGTCAATAAGTTACTAGCTAAAAACTAGCCGTTGTGATTTGTTAGGTAATTTAAAGCTGTCCTTAGAGTTATCGACAACGCCATGTGTTTCCGCATAGATGCCAAGCGTAACAGTTGTTAATTTTGAATGGGCATCTAGAAAAGAGGTAGTACAACTGGTAAGAGTGCTGGTCCCTGCATATCGTACCAAATGCGGGTTAAAATCCCATCCGCTTTTTAACTTTTCTGAATTTATTTTTATATATTTATTATTAGAACCACGTGTGTTGGTCCACTTCAACCACATGTTGAGCACGGACCTCGTTGGTGAATGTTGCAACATACGCACGCACGCGCACGCGCACACACACACATACAGGTGCGTGAGCGCGCACATACACGCACACGTTCTATCCCGAGAGCACTGTAATACGCATTTATTGATTTTTTCTTCTCTTAAGTATTTTATTACTACAGCAGTAAGAGTATTTAGTTATTTTTTTTTATTATTTTTAACCCCTGTATGGGTGCTATCATTGTAGGTGTTTGTACAAGGTCAATTTTCTTAATTTCTTTCAATCCAATTTTTTTTTTTATACAATTTTATATTGTCAAATCAAAATCTTATAATAATAAAGTATATAATAATATATCTACGTACCTATCAACATAGTATATGATGGCGTATGGTATATACATGACATCCAGAAAACTGAACACTAAGTGAAGATAGAACGCTATGTCACTGCCTGAAACAGAAACAAAAAAAAACATAAGATAACGTTCTGATTGAAGAACGTTATCTTATGTTCTGATGAAAGATTATGTTCTGAAGAACTTTTTGATATAATGCCCATAGTCAACTTTTACAATCGTACCGCTCGTTATCGGTAGGGAATCCATCACATCTTAGAACCAGGATGGTCGCGCACAGTAACGATTCACAGAAGATTCCTCCCGCGACCAATTACATTGTGGAATGTCTTTTCTGCCGAGGCTTTACCTAGAGACTACAGCATGGCAGACGGGTTGGCAATCGCAGACAGGCTTTGGTAATAAGAAGGAGATTAATTGAAACGCTACTTCCCATCTCTCAATCATTAAATTGCCTTTGTCGCCTTTTACGACACCCACGGGAAAGAAAGGGGTGGCCCATTCTAAGTCGGGACCACACGGCATGTACTTGAATAACTCACCCCATTTAAACGTGTCCAGCACAGCGACCAATATGAACGGTATGACCCCAACCCACGTGGTAATGTTCGGCATGATGCTTTGTGCGGAGTCCATTTTGTCAAACACGTACGAGAGACACGTGTTGAACAAAATGGCGGACGGGCTGTATAATAGCAGTAAGCCGGTGAGCATTGTGATGGCCGAACCGTTTGTCAGACTAGGAATGTCGTTGAGGATCACCTGAAAGGATAATGAGAATGTTATACACACAATTAGGTCGAACTCGTATATGCTGAAACTCTTCGATAGCATCTAATCAAAAAATTAAACATTCCACAGAAAATGCAAAATCTTAACGTTTATATGTATGTCGTAATCGGAATATAATAAATAAATCGACATGCATTGTAAACGGTTCAAATTCTAAATTAACTAGATTAAGCATTGAATATGGAACTTCAGAGGGAGAACCAGAGGAAGACTTTGTACAAAAGTCGATTGCTCGTCTTATTAAGACCTTTCATATTGATTTTTCTCAAATATCTCCCTATATACAGACATCGTCTAATTACAATTTTATTATATTATAAAGATAAGGTACCAGAGGGAGTCTCTTTACAAAAGTCGTTTGCTTGGCCACCTCTGTCCCATTCGTGTGTCTACCGTGAAGCAGTTGGGTTTGCAGTGCTGTGTTTCAGTTTGAAGGGTGGGATTTGGCAGTGAATTTACAGAGTATAGAGGAATAACACCTGAGTCCTCAGGAATAGTAACGTGTGGGAGGTATCATAGGCGAAACAGTATTCTCTGTTATGTCCATGGTACTGCTTATGTCTATAGGCGACGGTTATCACTTTCCATCAGGTGTGCCGTCAGCTAGTTTACCATTCTAAGTTGCATAGAAAAAAACTTCATTTATGTAAAGATACGTATCTGCCATGGCATAACTGTGGAGGTCTTCCAAATGCTATTTATTTTATTATTAAAGCAGAAACAAAACCACGCTTTTTCAAGTATCTATTTGTAATTATTAAAACTTGAAGTACTTATTTGCTATCACTGAAGTCTTAAACTTCAAGATGTACATTTATGTACTTATTTGTTATTACTTGAGTCCATTTTTTCTAATAACTATTTTTCATTATTTAATCCTGTTTTTGAAAGTACTATATTATCAAGTTACGAATAACACTCACCAGTACGAGCACTCCAGCGCTAGTGATGATCATGATGAAAATAAGTACCACGAAGTACGTGAGAAAGTACATACTCATTGAAAGGCCATTCACTCGCAACTGGTTTTTAGCCTTTATCTGAAATTTTATAAATATGATAAAATTACCAGGACTTATAACACATTACCATCTAGTCACGAATAAAGCACCTAATGTACTATAAGTACTAAACAAGATAGGTAATCATACTTAAATATATCTTTGTTAATATACGCATATACATGTATATACTGTGGTATGATTCAGCTCAGCCTTTTTATATAGTTTACAAACTGTTATTTCTGCAATAGAACAGCAAGTAGCAATGCGTGAATTTCAATCTGAAGGGCCAACATAGAAGCCACTACAAGACTTTTTGTTTGTAATGGATAAACTCAAACGATACTCAACCGATTTTGAAAATTCTATCACCTATAGAAGTTTACATTATTAGCGAGCGATATAGGTTGTATTTTATCAAAAAACCGTGCCAAGTCAGGTAGATCGCCAGTGATGACGATGTGTCCTGACCTTTTTCAGTCACGGTGAAATATATTGTTTCTGGTGGGTGAGCTTTTACTTCGTTTCTCTTTGTATCCAGTTGAGAAAGACATGACATTGCTAAATTCATTTTTGATTTTGTCAGAGCTCTCCATTGTAGCCGATCCTTAGCTCGTAGCTCCCATATACAAGTCGCTAGTGTAACATAAAGGTACCAACCTCCCGATCGTACACGATGTCGACGGCGAGCGTGACCGGCACAAGGGCAAAGATCATGCCCATGAATATCGCGCACACCACGTTACCCACGTTGAATTCCTCCTGCTGCTCCGTCTGCTGGAACGGGTGCGTCAGCACCTCGATCGGCTTAAAGCTCTCCAGGAGACCCGACGTTGACATTAATACCCTGCAAATTTGAGTCTTTTGTTATAATACTGTGATGGCAAACAAAGATACAGTCACTTGATGGTAAGGTAGTCCATTAACGATGGTTGCAATGGCTCAGGCAATACCTGCTCGTTATCGACCCTAAAGAAACATCTCTGCATTTGTTTTGACGAACCATATACTGTTATTATTTTGGTCGTTAACTGTCCATTGCTGAATATAAGCCTCCCCCATAAGGGGAGTTTTGCCAGTATTTGCCATGCTTGGCAGGCAGGTTGGCAATCGCAGTTAGGCTTTGGTGACGTTTTAAGAGAGATGCTGCCGCCCATCCCTCGATCTCCCTTAGTAGCTTTTTACGACACCCACATGAAAGGAAGAGATGGCCTATTCTATGCCAAGGCGGTATACTGTTAGCTGCAGTAATATCAGACATTTTCTAATATTATAATTCATACATTTTCTTCTACTCAGCTTTATCCCATGCCATATCTTTGATCTCCCTATACGACATGACATCTAATGTTTTCTTTATCTGTCCCATGTAGTTATTCCTCGGTCTTCTCCTTCCTCTTTTGCTCTCTATTTTTCCTTCTAATATGCTCTATAAAATTATCATGTCGTATAAAGTGGCCTAGTATTTTGCTTTCTCTATTTTCTACTTTTAATAATTAATTATAAACATTAACAACACTCATACGTACCTATAAATACTATTGTCCAATAAATTGATGATGATAGGCAAACTGTGCGTATATGTGCTATTATAGTAGGCCATAATTTTCCCATATGGGATGAGACTATCTTTCAAACTAAACGCTCCAAAATTCTCCATGTCCAGCAAACTAGCGAAGCTCCCATTAAAATCTACAATAGGGTGTGCCCCAAGGAGCTCTAATGAGGCCCGCAAATCTGATATTTCTTTGTAATTGTTTTGCTCGCTATGTATTGCGATTGGGGTTTTGTTGAAATAGGCGTCGGGACTGAGAGTGAGGGGCTGCATTCGAAAAAATACTATTTGCCGTGACTTCATATAAAGGCCGAGGGCGCATGAAACTGTAAAAAAAATATATATTGTAAAATTAGTAGAATGAAACAAGAGAAAAAAAAGATTTATTTTACCAACAAGTATAACCTTTTTAAAATAAACGTGGTAACAGACTTAGATTATACAGATAGAGTGTCTCCAAACAAATGCTCGAGAAGAACGGGTCAACTTTTTCATACAATTTTGTGTGTTAAATTGTTATGAAAGATTCTTTTATAACTTCTATATTTATTTTGTCCTATAATTTTAGCATCTTTTTAATGCGTAAACACTCATTTTGTTTATTAAATAACTAAATATAGATACGTCAAGATACATCGTGTGCGTAAGTACATAGAACACTGATAAAAACAAACGAGTCGGCTAATTTGACAATTAGTTGACAAAAAGTAGATCCATTTTTGAGACTCGATACCCTATCTACATAATCTAAGGCAACAGGTTACGTAAAATTAAAAGCCAAACAATATAAATTGTTAATGCAAGTATCCATTAAAAAGTTTCTTCATCAAGACAAATTCTAAATTTCCACGACTCATTAGCCATTGACCAGATCGTGAACAGAATCATTGAAATGTCCTTTATGAAGTTTATCAATGATTTTCTTTTTTATTGTTAAGTATATGTATGTGTATGTGTGTGTGTGTGTGTGTGTGTATGTATATACTATTATATATATTTTTATGTTCATCAATATCATATATAATATCAAATAATCATCTGCTCTCGATTATTTGGTTCAGTTTATTGTGGAAACTTCACTGATTTGTGTTATGGTTATGTATACTATTTTATATGTTTTAGATATTGTATGTTTCCCTTTCAAAGTAAAATAAAATAAAATAAAAATAAAAAATTACTTACTGATAGGTAGGAAGATCATCACGTACAACTTGTATGGGTCTCGTATCATCCTCACCGTTCGGATGTACACGAGGGCGCAGAAGGTTCGCCAGCAGGACGGGTTGGTTTTCACCGTCTCGCCCAGGGTGTCTACTGACACTGGCGCTTCGGGAGTCACCTGGCAATGGACACAATTCTGAAGCTTAAGTTACATGCTAGATGGTTTTATTCGACGAATGTTTTTATGCAATTTGAAAGGGCAAGTAATGCGTTTTAAGAGGAACACTGCTGTCTATCCCTCGACTGGTAAATTCCCTTAGTCGCCTCTTACGATATTCATGGGAAAGGAAGGGGTAGCTTATTTTATACCGGGGGTGTGGCCCCGGTACGGCTGTATAAGGGAAAAGGTACGCAGACGATTTTTGTACGAAGTCTTCCTCTGGTATCTTTATTAAGCAACCTTGGAATGGAGATGAGTTTAATTAAATTATTCCTTTTTAAAAGGCCGGCAGCACACCTGCAATGCCTTTGGTGTTGCGGGTGGTCATGGGCGGCGGTAGTCACTTACCATCAGGTGACCCGTATGCTTCTTTTTTTTATACAACTTAGAATGGCAAATAAGCTGACGGCCCACCTGATGGAAAGTAGTAACCGTCGCCTACAGACATAAACAGTACCATGGACATAACAGAGTATACTGTTTCGCCCATGATACCCCCCATGCGTTGCTATTCCTGAGGACTTAGGTATTATTCCTCCGTACCCAGTAAATTCACGCCATATCCCACCCACCCTTCAAACCGAAACACAGCCATGCAAACACAACTGCTTCACGGTTGAAACACGAATGGGACAGAGGTACCCAAGCAATCGACTTTTGTACAGTCTCCCTGTTTAATTAATAACTGGTATATAAACTCTTTGCTGGCCCTTTATACAAAAAAAGAAAAATAATGTTTTTATCTGACACTTTCGATTGTGACGTTCTTGTACAAAATTAATAAACACATTCAAGATCAAGATTCGACTTTATTTTTGTTCATTTGGTCCTTCGATAGCCGCATAATTTAGTAAATAAATATAGTGCAGTACTAAACGCATAAATATTCACAACTTCAGTGTACAATACTTTTTTCACATATATATATCAGACTTTGTTGTTTGCATATCACAATGACAGAAAATATTAGTTCACGTATTACAATGTTGTTGGACAATTCAAATAAAATTGTGAAATTACTTACTAACACGAAGAAGTGCGCTCGAGCTAAAATTACAAGAGGATATTTGGATGCACGTTTAGAGATGCTATGTGAGTACTGGTCGTCTTATAATAAGCAATATGAGTACATTACAACTACATATTCAGAGTCGGATTTAAAATCATATAATCTCGATCTAGAGGAAAATTATAACTCTACTGAAGAGGCTTACTTAGATCTCAAGATCTGGATAAAAGATTGGTTATATGAACATGAAACAAAATCAATTAAAACTGATGATGATAACACCATCACCATCGCATCATCTTCACACTCGAGACCACATCTTCCTCCGATACCCCTTCCAGTATTTTCTGGTGATTATAATGATTGGATTAGCTACCGAGATTTATATATTTCATTAATACATAACAATAACAGTTTGTCTAAAATTGAAAAGCATCATTACCTTAAGTCTAGTTTAACTGGGGAAGCAGCAGAATTATTAAAGAATTTCACACTTACCGAAGCTAATTATCTCGATGCATGGAAAAAGCTGGAAGAAAGATATGACAACAAGAGGATTATTGTCAACAACATACTGAATCGCTTATTAAGTCAAAAGAAGTTAGCTGGCGAATCAACTAAAAGTCTCAAAGAATTATTAGACACTACTAGTCAATGTCTTGACTCGTTGAAAAATCTCAACATATGTATTTCTAACTGGGATGCTATTTTAGTATATGTTATTGTCGGAAAGTTAGACTCCGAATCACATAAACTTTGGGAGCAGTCTCTTGGTAATTCTACTGAGATTCCTACTTATACCGATTTAGCTTCTTTCTTGGAGAATAGATTCAGAACACTAGAAATGATTAGTTCAACTCAAGTTAAAGAATTGTCAAAGAAGATATACACACCACAAAAATTTACATCTGTCAAAACTTACGTTACTGAAGTAAATAGTACTTGCACATATTGTTCACAGAACCATTACATTTGTCATTGTAAGAAATTTGCTACACTTACCGTATCAGAACGTCAACATTTTATAAAAACGAACAACATCTGCTTCAACTGTTTGATTAAGGGTCATTCTGTGAAACAATGTCGGCAAAGCACAACCTGTAAGAAATGCGGACGACGTCATCACACTTTGCTGCATTTAACAACTCTTAACAAACCAGAGATTACAACTGAGAGAAATGAGTCAGTACAGAGTCCCTCTACGTCTTGTCATACTGCTAACACGAAACCTGATACAAATAATAAACAAATTATTTTACCTACAGCTCAAATTAAAGTAAAGGCAAAGAATGGCTCTACTTACGTTCTCAAGGCACTTGTAGACCAGGGCTCTCAGGCTTCTTTTGTTACTGAAGCAGCTGTACAACTGTTGAATCTTGATCGCACACCTGTAATTGGTAAAATCACTGGAATATCCAACTCACAAGAAGTTACTACGAAGTCTATAGTAACACTCACAATTCATTGTAAAAACCCATCACTTTCACGTATTGAAGTTAACGCTTATGTACTTAGAAAACTAACTTCAATACTACCGTCTCGAGAATTTCCACAAGGTACTTGGCCTTCATCAATGCAATTAGATCTAGCTGATCCTGATTTTCACAAGCCGAGTCCTATAGATGTTTTATTGGGTGCCGACGTGCATGCTCACATAATTCTCGATGGAATACATAAACACAACACTCTCGTTGCTCTTAACTCTCGCCTGGGTTGGTTGCTGGCTGGAAGCGTTTCACAAACTGTTACACAAGTACACAATATGGTTGTAGCCCATAATAAATTGGAGGTGGATCAGTTACTTAGGCAGTTTTGGGAGATCGAAGAGCACGTTCCCCACAAAAAACCTATGTCCGCATCAGAAATACAATGCGAGGAACACTATAAAAATACTTACACACGTAATGATGATGGTCGATACGTAGTTCGTTTACCATTTAAAGAATTTCCTTCCACAAGTCTTGGTGATTCAAAAACCTTGGCTGTTAATCGTCTGCAACAGATGGAGAAGAGATTTTTACACAAACCTGAATTTAAAAATCAGTATACTAATTTTATGGATGAATACCTGTCACACGAACATATGGAGATGATACCTGAAAATGAACTTAATACTAATAATAAAAATATATATTACTTACCTCACCATGCTGTCCTTAGGCCGTCGAGCTTGAGTACAAAGTTGCGCGTAGTCTTTGATGGTAGTGCTGTACCTGCAAATGGAAAATCATTAAATGATGAACTGTTAATCGGTCCTCCTCTTCTTCAAGATATTCGATACTTAATTACTAGATGGAGACAACACAAAATATGTTTAGTTGCAGATATACAGAAGATGTATCGACAGATACTTGTATCTAAAAAAGATATAGATCTACAAAGAATCGTATGGCGTGAATCTCTCAATGATCCTATTCAAGAGTACAGATTACTTACCGTAACCTATGGTACGTCTTGTGCTCCTTTTTTAGCTATCCGTACATTGCACCAACTTGCTGAAGATGAATGTGGTGAGTTTCCTAGAGAAGCTGAAATTGTGAAGGAAGACTTCTACATGGACGATTTGTTAACAGGTACGTCAACAGAGGAAAGTGCAATATTTCTTCAAAATCGGTTAACTGAGTTATTAGCTCGAGGTGGCTTTCCTTTGCACAAATGGTCGTCTAATAGTAAACTAGTATTGAATCAAATTTCGAACGACAAAAGAGATTCTTTAAGTACAGTCACTATTAAAGTAGAAGACACTATTAAAGCTTTAGGTATTATATGGAATTCACAAACTGACAACTTTGAACTTACATTAAATTTAGAATTTAAATCCCACAATGTCACTAAACGAACTGTTCTTTCTGCGATAACTAAGTCCTTTGATCCTCTTGGTTGGTTAGCACCTTCTATTATTGTTCTTAAAATATTCATGCAGAAATTATGGCTAGCTGGATTGGATTGGGACGAGGAGCTACCACTAGAATTAAAAACTGAATGGTTTACTTACCTAGATAAATTTTCTCACATGCAAATCATTCCCTTTCCAAGATGGCTCAGTATTTTAAATACTACTACTAGAGTAGAATTACATGGCTTCAGCGATGCATCTTGTGCTGCTTATGCTGCTGTTGTCTATATCAGGGTTTGGAATGGCAAAAACGTTAATGTTCATTTAGTTTTTGCAAAAACACGTGTAGCTCCAGTAAAACAAATCACGTTGCCACGACTTGAACTTTGTGGTGCTGTTTTATTAGCCAAGATGTTGAGCAGTCTTAAAACTGTTTTGAAAATACAAAATAATTGTGTGTTCGCTTGGACTGATTCTACTATAGTTTTGGCGTGGTTACGCAAAACACCTGGTACTTGGACAACATTTGTTGCTAATCGAACAGCAGAAATTTTAACTGTCACAAATAGCAGTCAATGGCGTCATGTTGACACCTTTGATAATCCTGCAGATTTAGGCTCTCGAGGTTTAAGTCCGAATGATTTGAGACAGTCAAAACTATGGTGGAACGGCCCTGATTTTTTAAGTCAACCCAATGATATTGTTAATAATGATATAAATATTCCTGAAACAGACTTAGAAATAAAAACAAAAGTTAAAGTTCACATTTGTACTACTGAAAATAATGATATTACTGACTATCTAAACAAATATTCAAAGCTTTCAAAGTTGATCCGTGTAACAGCGTTCTGTTTAAGATTTTTTCAATGCTGTAAAAACAAAATTAATTCAATCAAAAGGGATTGTACTTCTTACTTAACTGCTTCTGAAATAAAAAATGCTTTGCTTGTATGTATTCGTCGGTCACAAGCTATTAGTTTTGAAGACGAGATTGAAACTTTAACTCACAATAAGCGAATTCACAAAAGAAGCAAGTTATATACACTTAATCCGTATCTTGATGAACAAAAGATACTAAGAGTGGGTGGCAGACTAGCTAACGCAGAGATTTCGAATTATCTAAAGTCTCCTATTATTTTAAGTAATGAATGTCATTTATCTAAACTAATTGTTTCTGATGCACACTTTAAAACTCTGCATGGTGGTTTGCAACTTACCTTAAATTACGTCAGACAGAGATACTGGATTATTCGTTTAAAAAATCTTGTTAAAACTATTGTAAATAATTGTATATCTTGTTTCAAACAAAGAGCAGTACCAAAGGTACCATTTATGGGTAATTTACCAAATTACAGAGTCAATCCCGATAGACCATTTAGTACAAGCGGTGTAGATTTTGCGGGACCTTTTACGTTAAAACTGTATCCCGGTAGATGTAAAAAAACATGTAAAGCCTATGTTTGTCTATTTGTTTGTACTGTAACAAAAGCTATTCACTTGGAGCTAGTGAGTGATTTATCTTCTGCTGCATTTATAGCTGCTTTTAAAAGATTTACTGCTCGCCGTGGTCATTGCCGGAATATCTGGAGTGACTGTGGAACTAATTTTGTTGGTGCATCACGAGAGTTAAATCTTACTTTTAAGAACTTAAAGTCCCAAGTAGTCACAGAAATTGCCGAACTTTTAGCAAACGATTTCACAACTTGGCATTTCATACCTCCTAGTGCTCCACACTTTGGAGGTTTGTGGGAATCCGGAGTCAGGTCTATCAAAGGACATTTAAAACGTGTAATTGGTCAGACCATTCTAACTTTTGAAGAATTTTCTACATTACTAACTCAAGTCGAAGCTTGTGTTAACTCTCGACCTCTTACTTTGATGAACAATTCTCCTGATGAACCTCCGCTAACCCCGGGTCACTTCCTAATAGGTGGTCCTCTAATTGCTGTACCTGAGGAATCTTTACAAGAAGTAAAGCTTAACACTTTGGATCGTTGGCATATGATTCAACGATTTATTCAATCTCTTTGGTATCGTTGGCAACTAGAGTATTTAACAACTCTCCAAAATAGATACAAATGGTCAAAAATACATCCTAATATTGAATTAGGTACTGTAGTCTTAGTGAAAGATGATAAATTACCACCTGGTAAGTGGCTTTTGGGTCAAGTTGTAGATAAACATCCAGGTGCAGATGGTACAACGCGAGTTGTTACACTTAGATATAAAAACAGTTTCTTTAAGAGACCTGTAGCCAAGTTGTGCCCTCTGCCACTGAATAAGTAAAATTTGTTATTTTTTCTAACAGTTATGTACTAATTTGATTTCTATTATCGCACTTTGTATTACTTGTTTACTATATTGTGAAGGACTATAGTAGTCCTTGGGTGGCGGAATGTTTAATTAATAACTGGTATATAAACTCTTTGCTGGCCCTTTATACAAAAAAAGAAAAATAATGTTTTTATCTGACACTTTCGATTGTGACGTTCTTGTACAAAATTAATAAACACATTCAAGATCAAGATTCGACTTTATTTTTGTTCACTCCCTCTGGTGTAAAAACAATTAATCAATAAAATAAATATTCATACCTTGACGTGTTCCACGCCGTGAGTAGTGGAATGTAGCGCGTGGGACGCCGGAGGTGTTGGTAAGGATGTGGCCTTCTGAGATTCCTTATCGTTGAGCTCCTGAATTAAATGTTCCCAATTAAATGTCTTCTCTTAATTCTTACCACCATTCTAACTAATCCTTATTTGGAAAGTAAGTTTGTTTATTACTTCTTGACGTCTTAACGGCTAAACCAATTCTCATGAAATTTGGTACATATGTACTCTATAAGGATTTTTTATTCCGGTCAATTAATAAATCCCGGACAAAGTCGCGACTTTTATTATTATTATTTAAGCCCTTAACTGTCCACTACTGAACATAAGCCTTCCCCATAAGGGGAGTTTTGCCAGTAATTGCCACGCTTGGTAGGCGGGTTGGCAACCGCAGTTATGCTTTTACAGATGTTTTAAGAGGGACGCTGCTGCCCATCCCTCCACCATGTCGCGATGAAGTCGCGAATAAAAGTTAGTAAATAAATAAACAATCTCCCTATTGAGGTATTCGGGATACCATAAGATTACCATAGGAGTCTGGCATCATCAGGAGTCTAGAATTTGGCGTGAATTTACTGGGTACAGAGGAATAACACCTGAGTTCTCAGGAATGGCATCGCATGGGGGGTATCATGGGCGAAACAGTATACTCTGTTACGTCCATGGTACAGCTCATGTCTATAGGCGACGGTTACCACTTTCCATCAGGTGGACCGTCAGCTTGTTTGCCATTCTAAGTTGTATAAAATACAAAATAAAAAAGTCTTCAAGAAAAGCTCCCTTTATACTTATCATCAATGCTACGCTATGCTTATGGCATTCCAGTGTACATCTATATAAAAGACAATATCAATCCCAGAATACACAAGTACCTGATAACTAAGAGTCTTGCTCTGCAACGATAGACTCCTGGAGAGCGCACGAGCTCGGACCAGCTTCACCGAGGACACTCCCTCCACAGCCTCCGTCTCCTCAGCATTCTCTCCTTCCAAGCTGAGGAAGACTTCTTCTAACGTTGTCATCGACACCCCATAACTTGTCACACCTGGTAAGTAAGGGTAAAAATAAAAAAAAAAACATCACAAATACTGGTGGGATTTTTGTTGTTTGTTTGTGTTGTTTTAACTTGAATAACACCCTAGCAGTCCTCAAGAATGGAAATGTATAAGGGTTTTTTTAATGGGTGAAATTGAAATAGTGACCCCGTCTGCGTTATCGACCTATTATGGATAGAGGACGATAAGGTCGGCCATTGTTTTCTCAGTGTGATAATTTCCTGTAATTGTTGATATTTACCGAGGCGGTTGGTCTTGTCCCGGATCTCGTGCTCGATGGCGAGGAAGAGCGGCGGGAAGAGGTGGACGGCGTAGTGCGGCAGGATGTAGGACAGCTCGCGGCCGTGGCGCCGCGCCTTCTCCGCGCGCGGCACGTGCCCGCGCACCAGCCGCGTGATCTGGTGCTCGCGGCATGCGCCTGCGCACCATACCACACCATTAGTGACAATCGAATAAATAGATAGATAGATAATTTATTTGCATTACTTACTTAAAGCAAACGAATTACAACATACATATACAAAAAAAAGCGAGATAACATATTATATACATATTTCCCACCACATCTGCCCTTCATACGCTTTCTGTTTTTACCCAATGATTAGCTGGTAGAGAATGCCATGTGGCATTAAGCTCGCCATTTGTACAAAATTTTATTGTGCAATAAAGAATAAATAAATAAATAACATAAATGATAAAAAATATTAAATATCAATAAGATGCAACGAAAGAGGTTTGTTTGAATCGAAGCATTTGGCGTTCCATTGTTTCTGCCTACCCTAATGGGAGACAGGCGTGACAGATATATATGTATCAATAAGATTTGGGCCAGAGGGATGCTGTACAAAAGTCGTCTGCTTGGACATCTCTGTCCCATTCGTGTATCTACCGTGAAGCAGTTGTGTTTGCATGGCTGTTTCGGTTTGAAGGGTGGGATATGGTGTGAATTTACTGGGTACAGAGGAATAACACCTGAGTCCTCAGAAATGACAACTTTCGGTTTGAAGGGTGGAATATGGCGTGAATTTACACGGTACAGAGGTATAACACTAAAATCGTCAGAAATGGCAACGCATGGGGGCTATCATGGGCGAAACAGTATACTCTGTTACGTCCATGGTACAGCTTATATCTATAGGCGACGGTTACCACTTTCCATCAGGTGGGCCGTCGGCTTGTTTGCCATTCTAAGCCAGGCAGTGGCTAGTCGTAAAACTATAAACTAAATCTATTTGTAATATGAATAAAAACCATATTATGTCAACATAATAATTGGGGTAAGGGTTGGAAGATGATGAATGGACTAATACTAAATCTATTTCAAAATACTAGATCACCTATAGAAAGCTACATTGCTAAATTATCAGCAAGTAATATTCGCTGATATTTGTCATGAAAAAAAAAGGTTCGGAGGGGGGGGGGGGGGTTAATGGGTGACAGTGGAATGGTAACTCCGCCTGAGCTATCGGTATACACTGGCGGGGCACTAGTAAGGGATGATAGGTGACGATGAAAGCAGGTAAGTTAGGCCATAGTGACAAATTCCACTAGAATTAACCAAGATGGTTTCTAAGGGGAACCGTGTTGTCCTGATAGGGTGTATTGCTAGTAATGAAGTCAGTTAGACCCCATTACTAACAATCCCTTTCCTCCCGAGTTATGAGGCAAAAAACATACATCCTATCAAAAACGTAAAGTGTAAAAATAGGCCAAGTCTGCCAGACTCAGAATCAGACGCAGTTGTTCCACTACCGAAAGTTGTGAGATCAGTTGTTCAGTTGTTTTAGTCAGTGACTATACTAGAAGCGCCTATTCTACAACTTTGTTATAAATTGTTAATCTAATCAAATGACCTATCAGCGTTTATAATAACCGAATCAATATTAGACATCTTTACTTCTATAATAATTATAATGACTTGGCAACTGCACTGCAACATGTTCTACTAATAAAATACTTTGTTCTCAAGTCCACTGTTTAGATTTTCTTAGCAATCTAAATGGTAGATTTTATATTACATTATTCTTTTATAATTAACTAGCGTCCCGCGGGGGGAAAGGGACTGTTAGTAACGGAGACTGAGAATCCCATTGCTAGCAATATACCCAACCAGGTCGACCTTCTCGCGGTTCCCCCTGGAAACTATCATGGTTAATTCCTGATGAATTCATCATGATAGGCTAACTGGCCTGTTTTCATTCTCATCTATCATCCTTCACTGGTGCTCCGCCAGCGTATCCTGTTAGTGCAGGTGGAGTTACCATACCATTTTCACCCGTCAAAAAAAATATAGCAATATCTTTATATTTTAGTTACAATATCTGCTTCAATAACGAACATGTTAAAAGTCAGTTATACAAAAAAAAAAATATTGCCGGGGCGGGACGCTAGTTTTTTTTGATGTGTGAAAATGGTATGGTAACCCCGCCTGCGCTAACGGGATACGCTGGCGGAGCACCAGTGAAGGGTGATAGGTGAGAACGAAAACAGGCCAGTTAGCCCATCATGATGAATTCATCAGGAATTAACCATGATAGTTTCCAGGGGGAACCGCGAGGAGGTCGACCTGGTTGGGTATATTGCTAGCAACGGGATTCTCAGTCTCCATTACTAACAATCCCCTTCCCCCATTGCTATATATTACTAACCCCTAAGAAAACGTATATGTGACTAAGAATACAATATTTTATTTATATAACACGAGTATAGTTACCGTCCAAGACCAGTGTCAAATGGTAGCCGATGCCGAATTTGTTTTTCAAAAACAACGACGTCCCCGCGCAGCGAACCTGAAAATTGTCATATTTCAATATACTTACACATACACTAATATGGAAGCCAATAACGCCCATGCCATGCAATATATTACATGAATGTTACACACAGAACAGGTGGAAGTAACACTTTTTAATTGTCAATGTTTTTTTTTTTTTTTTTTTTTTTATACAACTCAGAATGGCAAACAAGCTGACGACCCACCTGATGGAAAGTAGTAACCGTCGCCTATAGACAGGAGTAGTACCATGGACATAACAGAGTATACTGTTTCACCCATGATACCCCCAATGCGTTGACATTCCTGAGGACTCAGATGTTATTCCTCTGTACCCTGTAAATTCACGCCATATCCCACCCTTCAAACCGAAACACAGCCATGCAAACACAACTGCTTCACGGTAGAAACACGAATGGGACAGAGGTACCCAAGCAAACGACTTTTGTACAATGTGCTATGGGGTCGATTCTGGGCCTAATCCCCTTTTCATCCCCGATGCAGATATAATTAAAATATGCAGATTTAATAACCAATCACTCTTTTGCTGTGGCTGCAACTAGATTATGGAACACACTTCCTCATGTAATTAGAAATAGCCTAAGCATTGGGATTTTCAAATCGCGTCTGAAGAATTATTACCTCTCACAATGCTGATGTACGTACTTATTATATTTGTGTATTATATATAATATATATCTATCTATTTATATGTATTTACTTATATATATATATATATATATATATATATATATATATATATATATATATATATATATTTATTTATTTATTTATTTTTAACTATAACATTGAAGTCGATTGGTACACATGTATGACTGTAACTACTAATGAACTGTCAGTTTTCTCATATTGGGTTTGCTGGAGGAAATCTCTATTGGAGATAAGCTCGCCCTTGTGCACTATTATGTTTGTTTTTACATTTCAATAACCTTTTGTGTACAATGAAGAATAAATAAAATAAAATAAAATAAAATAAGGTACATTTTAGTATATACGTACTATAAGGGATGTAAAAGGATACAGGCTACTGTTTATCCCGGTCCATAATTATACCTGGACACGTGAACGAAGTCAAGGGTAAAAGCTAGTTAACTATACAACTAACTTAATAGACTAATTCGAGCTAGTCTTTAGAGACCTACCCTTCCCTTGCTGATGACGGCCTTCCGATCTCCCAGTATATCAGCTTCGTCCATAAAATGCGTGGTGAGGAGCAGCACTTTCCCGCGTTTCGCTCGCTGCAGGATCCTCCAGGTTTGTCTCCGGGACACCGGGTCCACGCCTGCTGTCGGCTCGTCCAGTATTATAATCTGAAATTGAGTTTTTACGAGTCTGACATTTAATATGCCAACAAACTGACGGTCCATCTGATGGAAAATGGCAACCGTTACCTATAGACATGAATAGCAGGCCAGAGGGAGACTTTGTACAAAAGTCGATTTCTTGGGTGCCTCTGTCCTATTCGCATTTTAACCGTGAAGCAGTTGTGTTTGCATGGCTGTGTTTCGGTTTGAAGGGTGGGATATGGCGTGAATTTACTGGGTACAGAGGAATAACACCTGAGTCCTCAGGAATGGCAACGCATGGAGGGTATCATGAGCGAAACAGTATACTCTGTTATGTCCATGGTACTGCTCATGTCTATAGGCGACGGTTACCACTTTCCATCAGGTGGGCCGTCAGTTTGTTTGCCATTCTAAGTTGTATAAAAAAAAGCACCATGTATATTATAGAAGACACTCATGGTATCCCTCAAGCTTGTTTTTGAGGATTATGGTGTTACGCCATACTTTGAAATTTCTTTGCCATATTCAAAACACACACATGCAAGTACAGCTGCTGGGGGGAAGGGATTGTTAGTAATGCGGACTGCCAGTCCCATTGCTAGCAATATACCCTCCGCGAGGGCCCCTTGGAAATCATCGTGCTAAATTCCAAGTGTATTCATCACGATGGGCTAACTAACCTGATTTCATCCTCACCTATCGTCCCTCACTGGTGCCCAGCCAGCATATAACATTAGCACAGGCGGAGTTACCATTACATTATCGTCCATTAAAAAAAAAGTACAGCTGCTTCACGGCAGACCATGTTTGGGAATGAGGCACCCAATATAGTAACAATGCCTCTGGTATTGTAGTTCGCCTACAATACCAGATAGGCTACGGTAAACGCTTACCATCAGGTGGGCCGTATGCTTGTTTACCACCTCAGTGGTATAAAAAAAAGTGGTTTCTGAACCTTTCAATGCCATATATCAACCTTCAAACCGAAATCATACAAGCCCTGTTTCCATATGGACTGCGGAAGCATGAGCGGGACAGAGGTACTTATAGTACAGTCTCTCTCTGGTTCTTACCTTGGGATCACCGATGAAAGCGATTGCTATGCTGAGCTTCCTCTTCTGACCGCCCGACAGATGCTTCGAGAACACTCCAGCCTGGTCCAGAAGGCCTACATCTGATAACGACTTGTGTATCTCGTCTGGTATCCTCTTGCGTGGTATACCCTACAATTTAAACATGACGTTACGAATCGATCAAAATAGGCATAAATCTAAAGCAGTTTGCAAAAAGTTTTAAATCTGGAAAAAAATCTTTTTATATCAGGTCGTCAGCTTTTTTATGCAACTTAGAATGACAAACAAGCTGACGGCCCACCTGGTGGAAAGTGGTAACCGTCGCCTATAGACATAAGCAGTACTATGGACATAACAGAGTATACTGTTTCGCCCATGATACCCCCCATGCGTTGCCATTCCTGAGGACTCAGGTATTATTCCTGTGTACCCTGTAAATTCACTGCCACATCCCACCCTTCAAACCGAAACACAGCCATGCAAACACAACTGCTTCACGGTTGAAACACGAATGGGACAGAGGTGTCCAAGCAAACGACTTTTGTATAAAGTCTACCTCTGGTAAAATCAAAGATATCTGGTAAGATCAAGTACCAAAGATCCTATTAATTCTTAATAGAACGATTGGTTAAAAGAAAACAGATATAAACAATAAAATAACAGAGCACTACGCAATATTTTTTAGAGAGATCGACTAATTTAACATTTTTATTTTTCTATTTTATGAGTCTTTTTTTCGCAATTGTTTCTTATATTCTTTTAAATAATAAGTTTAAATCTATTACATACTAAACGATTACTCGAAACCCATCACTTCCTTTCCAGTGTGTCTCGTAAGAGGCGACTAAAGAAGGGCGAGGGATGGGCAGCAGCGTCCCTCTTAAAGCATATCTAAAAGCCTAACTGCGATTGCCAACCCGCCTGCCAAGTTTGGCAACTACTAGCAAACCCCCTAATAAGGGTTTTTGTTCAGCAGTTAGTTGACGGCTGATATATAAAATTATGGATGAAAGAAGAATTACTAAAGAGATTTATCGAGCAAGAATGAATGGAGATGTCGGTAGGGGTCACCCTAGACGGACGTATGTCGACCAAGTAGACGACGTGCTGAAGAAGGGCCAAATTAAAAGTACCCGTAACCGGCGAGCGTGTATGAAAAGATTGATAAATGTGGAGGAAGCGAAAGAGGTTTGTTGGAATTGAAACATCTGGCGTTCCATTGTTTCTGCCTACCCTAATGGGAGACAGGCGTGACAGATATGTATGTATGTAGTTATTACAAACTTACTTTCACAGCAGCAAAGAACTGTAGGTGTTCCTTTACGGAGAGCAGATCAAAAAGCACGTCTTGTTGTGGGCACACGCCTATCATCTGCCGAATTTCGTGCATGTCGTTTGGATCCCTGGAAATTTCATAGTGTATGGATCAAACTGTTTGTATTGGGGGGAAAAGGATTGTTAGTAGTGGAGACTAGGAATCCCATTGCTAGCAATATTGGGTATATACCAGGTCTACCTCCTCGTGGTTCTCCCTGGAAACTATCATGGTTAATTCCTGATGAATTCATCATGATGGGCTAACTGGCCTGTTTTCGTTCTCATCTATCGCCCTTCACTGGTGCTCCGCCAGCGTATTCCGTTAGCGCAGGCGGGGTTGCCTATTGTATATTTTCACCCATCAAAAAAACTGTTTATATTTGTTTCTCTTCATCCAAAGAGAAGGCTATAGAGACGGCTACCTAGAAAAAATAGCTCTTAGCGATAAGGCCGCCCATTGTTTTCTCACTGTGATCATTTCTTGTAATTGTTTATATTTATAATAAGTTTACTATTGTAATCTTTTGGAGGAAACAATAAAGAGTATCTATCTATCTATAGATAAAACCATAAAACATTAAAATTTCGAGATTACAGTTTTAATAAAAAGTTCACGTAACATAAATACAATGTGTGTGTGTGTGTGTGTGTTGTGTGTGTGTGTGTGTGTGTGTGTGTGTGTGTGTGTGTGTGTGTGTGTGTGTGTGTGTGTGTGTGTGTGTGTGTGTGTGTGTGTGTGTGTGTGTGTGCGTGCGTGCGTGTGCGTGTGCGTGTGCGTGTGCGTGTGTGTGTGTGTGTTTCACATGTTTGTATTTAATTTTTGATATATAAATTACTAGTGATCCGGCTAAATTTCGCACGGGTGGATAATTTTAACATTTCCCTTCACTGCTCTGCTCCTATTGATCGTAGCGTGATGAAAAGTATATTATAACCCACCCAGGAGTATGAAGAATAATTGTACCAAGTTTCGTTAAAATCCGTCGAGTAGATTTTGTTTCTATTACGAACATACAGACAGACAGACAAAATTTTTATTGATTGCATTTTTGGCATCAGTATCGATCACTAATCACCCCGCTGATAGTTATTTTGGAAATATATTTCATGTACAGAATTGACCTCTCTACAGATTTATTAGAAGTGTAGATTATATTACTTGCTGATATTGTAGTTTTCTATAGATGAAAGAAAAGAGAAGAAAGAAAGAATATTTAAAATCATTTGAGCAGTTTTTTAGTCATCCATTACAAACAAACAAACAATCAAATATTTCCTCTTTATAAAGTTTTTTTTTTATTGGACGAAAATGGAGTGGTAACCCCGCCAGCGCTAATGGGATACGCTGGCGGGGCACCAGTGAAGGGTGATCGATGAGGATGAAAACAGGCCAGTTAGCCCATCATGATGAATTCATCAGGAATTAATCATGATAGTTTCCAGGGGGAACCGCGAGTAGGTCGACCTGGTCGGGTATATTGCTAGCAATGGGATTCTTAGTCTTCATTACTAACAATCCCTTTCCTCCCCCTCTTTATAATGTTAGTATAGACCATTCTTTCTGTTAAAAACAAAACAAGCTTACCTAACATCCAGTCCATAAACATAAGCGGTCCCAGCGGTGGGCGAGGTCAGTCCTGTCAGGATATTGAACAGCGTGGACTTGCCAGCACCGTTGTGGCCCAGCACAGCCGTGATCTGGCCCTCGTAGATGCTCAGGTCGATGCCGTCGATGGCTTTGATCTCAGGCTTACGGCAGTGCCTGAAGCTTTTTTGGAGCCCCACAATCCTGATGGCTTCTTTCTCTTGGAGCTCTCTGTTCAGGTGTAGAGAATATTTTACTATATAAAATTGTAAGAAGACGATGTCTGTACATAGGGAGATATGGAAAATTAATAAGAAAGATCTTAAGCTTTAAAAGCTTGATTTTTTAAAATTAAATTAAAAATATATACATAAATGTACCCTTTACTGTGTTTACTAATGGGATAAAATAGTAAAAAAATCAAAACGATATTTTTATATATTTATTTTGAAAAAAAAAAAATTTGGTAACATGTAAACAGCCAAATATTAAAATGAAATCGATTGTAGGCGCCCAATGTGATTTATAACCCCGGTATGAAAATTAAAACTTCAGGTATTTTAGGGTTAGTAAGACATTAATAGAGGCTAAAACAATGATTTTGAGAAATTTTGTCTTTGTCTGTCTGTATGTTTGTTCTGGCATCACAAACAAACTAAATTGAATGCGATTTAAAAAAAAAAGGAATCAATAAAATAGCACACTTCCAGATAAAATGGTGATGTTTTAAGAAGAACACTCCTGCCCATCCCTCGACCACACTTACAGTCTCCCAAAACGTGTAGTGAGCCATAGGTTTATTTTACAAACCATTTATTTTACCATCAAGTTCCCTTGGTCACTTCTTATGACACTCGCGGGAAAGGCAGGGGTTATTATGGAAGAATATATAACTAAAGACGAAGTCAGTTCTAAGGTCCGTTGGTCGTGCTAGCAAATTCAAGTAGCACTATGGTTCCACGAGGGAACCACGATGGTGTCACAGAAAGACCGCGTGAAGATAAAGTCGATACCTTGGCACTGGTTCGATATCCTTGTTGTGTGTCGCCTCGCCGTTCGAATGGAAGTGTATGGCCGACACCCGCCCTCGCCTGCTCCCGATCCAGAAAGACGGCAGCAGGCAAAACCATGGCTTCTGTTTGATGCCGTATTCACCTGTAAAGATTAATGGCAACAAATTTTTTTGACAGATGATCTGATTAGAATTATTTTGTTTAATTCCGCCAACTGACTGACTGCCACCACTCGAAGATTGATCACCACTATTGTTGGTGTCCTAATAGGATGTCTAGGGGGGAAAGGGATTGTTAGTAATGGAGACTGAGAATCCCATTGCTAGCAATATACCCAACCAGGTCGACCCTCTCGCGGTCCTCCCTGGAAACTATCATGGTTAATTCCTGATGAATTCATCATGATGAGCTAACTGGCCTGTTTTCATTCTCATCTATCACCCTTCACTGGTGCTCCGCTAGCGTATCCCGTTAGCGCAGGCGGGGTAACCATACCATTTTCACCCATCAAAAAAAAAAATAGGATGTCTATCTCTCTTGCTCCTAATACAATGTCTGAAATGTACATATGCGTCAACTTGTTCTATATTTGTCTATTAAGTATGAATCCATATAACAGTAGTGTAATAAATAAATAAAAAAAAAATAACTACCAGAAGTAGAACGGCAAATAAGCTGAAAGCCCACCTGATGGAAAGTGACAACTTCGCTTATATACAGGAACAGTATCATGGATATCGCAGAATACTCTGTGACGCTAAGTCGTCAGGAATGGCAAATCATGAGGGGTATGATTTACCATTCCTGAGGACTAAAAATCTTAGTCTAACATGTTAATATTTATCTCTGATAATATTTATATTATAATATTTATATTATTATATGTATCACATCTCCCATATTTAGAACTAACAAAATTTTTCATCGTGCCTCCCACCAAATTGTTTATAATTACTCCTCTCCATCCAAAGTTTGCCTGCAAGAGATCGCTCTTAGCGATAAGGTCGCCCATTGTTTTCTCACTGTGATTATTTCTTGTAATTATTTATATTTATAATAAGTTTACTATTGTAATCTTTTGGAGGAAACAATAAAGAGTATCTATCTATCTATCTGTACTTTGGAAATACTGATATATGTCATACTTCAAAATCAGACAAAATCATGCAACACAGCTGCTATTTATCTAGCTTAATTAACAGATCCTGGTCTCACCGACGAAGTCAGTGGTCAAAGCCAGTAGGTACGTACGTAGACAGGCCAACACTCACTGGGTATGACGGCGTCGAGCCAGTAGGCCGCCAGCCCGTAGAGCACCGTGTCCACCGCCATCATGATGAGGCTTCCGCCGAACGGCACGCCAGGTCCGCTCCACAGGTTCTCCCATGTCACGCCCACGCCCGCCATGTCCAGCACCAGCGCCTGGTGGTATTGCATTTATTATTATTTCAGATGACCTTGACGCTAAAGCCTTTAGGGGGAGGGGGTGAGGGAAGCAACTGTTAGTAATAGGGGACTAGTGTTTATACCAGAGGTTTCGAAACTTATTTTGTCTACTGCCCACTTTGAAAATAAATTATTTTTTAGCGCCCCCATTTTTTCACCTACTTAAAAACCACTATTACTTCAAGATCAACAAACCACCCTCCAAGTCTCTACACAACGCCCACATTTTTTTTCTGGGTCTCTTACCGCTCCCCTTTAGGCCTGCAGCGCCCACAAGGGGGCGTTATCGCCCACTTTGGGAAAGGCTGGTTTATACCATAAATTGGGATGTTAGTTCGCATTCATAGCAATACATCTTTTTAAATCGATATCCACGCAGTTCCTTTTGGAAACTATCGTGATTAATTCCGAGTGAATCTGTCACGATAAGTTTATTGACTTCATTTTCATTGTTTAATATTCTATTAGATCTCCATCCTTGTATAGCATAAGCATAGGTGCAAGACTGGCTTTAGCAGGGTTTTACAACCAACGACGCACAGAGGTGTAATAACCAGAGACACTATAAGAAAAAATAAAAGACCCCCGATGATCTTTCGCATCTATTAGAGGAACCGCTAGAGACCTTAAACACTGCTTATTGGCACGTCAGTTAAAGGGAGTACCTCTTCCTGGAGGGAAGAGGATTGTTAGTAATGGGGTCTAACAGCCCCATTGCTCGCAATATACTCTATCAAGTGAACCTCTACGGGGTTCCGCCTGGAAAATAACGTGGTTAGTAGTTGTGGAAATCGTCATGATGGGTAAACTGACCTGCTTCATTTTCACCTATCTGCCACTGGTGTCTCGTTGAGGGAAGAGATTGTTAGGAATGCGGACTACCATTCTCATTGCTACCAATATACCCTGTCAGGTCGACTTCCACGTGGTCCCCCTGGAAACAATCGCGCTGAATTCCAAGTGTATTCATCTCGATGGGCTAAGTGACCTGCCTTTTCATTTTCACCTATCATTCCTCACTGGTGCCCCGCCAGCGTATACCGTTAGCACTGGAGGGGTTACCCTAAAAAAATAAACCTTTTTTCTTGATGATTGGGGCGCTAGGTAAGCCTAATAGGCAGGTGCACCATTCAATCATCGTCCATTAAAATATTTTGAACTGTCCAGCGCACCTTGTCCATGGCGAGCGCGTAGCAGCTGGAGCTGATGAGCGAGACGAACCAGAAGGCGAGCGAGTCAGCGTTCGACACGAACACTTGGATGAAGTACAGTCCGCTCATCAGGTTCACGGCGAAGCTGCCCAGGATGCCCGCCGTCTGGGACAACGAACATTTTTAATGCTAGCAAACTGTGCCGGCTTCTCACTGTTTTTTTTTAATAGAGCATAATCCATATTATTCGCTGATAATGTAGCTTTCTATAGGTGGAAGAATTTTAAAATAGATCAAGTGTTTTTTTAATTATTAAATTTTTTGTTTAGAATCAAAAATCAAATCTTTCCTTTTTATTAGAGAAAGTTAGGAAGTTTTTCAATCACGTTAAAACAATTGAACAGATAGTAAAGTTTACAGGTAACATTACAGGAAAGCCAAAAAGAGAAATCGAGTGATGTAGTTACTGGCAAGACAATTTCATCAAGATGTTAGTTGAATAATAGGTACTTCATCATCGTCATATCAGCTTTTGGCCACTGCTGAACATAAACCTTCCCCTTGAAGGGTTTTGCCAATAGTTGCTACGTTTGGTAGGCGGACTGGCAACCGCTGTTAGGCCTTAGAGATATTTTAAGAGGGACGCTGCTGCCCGTCCCTCGCCCTCTTTTAGTTGGTTTTTACGACATCCACGGGAATGGAAGAGCTGGCCTGTTCTATGCCGGGACTACATGGCAATAGATATATACTTAATGGACAATAAAAAAACTAACTATCAAAAAGTATTTAAACCATAACAATGACATAAGTAACATGACCAAAATTTCCTTACCCTGGCTCGATCGAAGAACGGCGTCAGCATGAAGGCAAACGTGATGATGGTAAATCCGAACAGCAGCATCAGCAGGAATATAAGGATGTAGGAGGAATGTTGGAACACCTGGAACAAGAAGGGTATTGTTATTGGTTCCCAGATATCCAGAGGAAGACTGTACAAAAGTAGTCTTTGTTTCGTGTTTCTGTCGCCAAGTTGTTAAGCTTGCATGACTTTATTTCCATTGAAAAGGTTGGAACATCATCATACTAGCTGTTAACTATCCACTGTTGAACATAGGTTTCCTCTTGAGGGTTTTTGGCAGTAGTTGCCACGCTTGGCAGGCAGATTGGCAACCGCAGTTAGGCTTTGGTGGTCACCTCTTACGTCTACTACGGGTAAGGAAGGGTCATAACTTAGTCTTCAGGAATTACCCATTAAAGACACTAGGGGCGTTAATGTCTTCTCTGATATCCACGGTGCTGTTCATGTCTATAGGCGATGGCACCTTCCTTGAAATAGACCGTCAACTTTTCAGCCATTGTAAATTGCATATAAAACACAATAAAAACAGCAAAACCAAAGATCACTAGGAACAAAAGTTGAACGAACCTTCAAAGTGAAGAGTAAAACTGTGCTGACGAAGGACAAAATTGTTACAAATACAGCGTAGATGAGGAACCAGGAACCCCTGTAGGCAGAAGTAAAATATTAAAATTAGATATAGAATGATAGAGAGTTTACAAATACAAATACAATTGTCTTTATTGTGGATCATAGGTCAAATCAAGGTATTGCATCAGTTAAATAGTATCTCCACGTCCTGCTATATAAAGCGTACAATATATGGAACAATTATAAATAAAGTAGAAGCAAAATAAATTAATATGAAACATTATTTTTTACTAATCACCACTATTTATCTTTATCATTGACATATTCGTTTAGGCTGTAATAACGTTTATTGACACATCGTGAAGGTTCTTTTTAAAAACACTTGCCTCAGTTAAATCTCGTATACGTTTCGGTAATGTATTATAAATTATTACAGCTTTACAAAATACACTATCTTTCATTAGTTTTGTTTTAGATGGTACACATATAATTGGTCAATATGCCGAGCTCTACTGCGAAATTTAAATTTATCAATATTAGAAAGAAAGAAAGAAAAAAACTTTATTTTACAAGAAATATGCGACGGCACCCACACAGGGGTTAAAAAAAATCCATATATTAAGAATTATAATAAAGAAACAACACAAAAAAATATTTATAAAAAAAAAAATATATAAAATTAAAAAAGAAAAATAAAACGATTCGTATTATAAAAATTTCATCAAAAATGAGTGTGTGTGTGTTAGTCATTTTATTTAAAATTATCAATTTAGCAAAGCGAAGCAAAGCCAGGGACTACTATAATCTGTTTCAGTAATACATATTCATGAAAATGAAAACAAATTATTGGCCCAGCCACAAGATAGTCTTCTACTGTCCAATAAAAAATTTGATAAATTTATTATATTACATAATATCTGCTTTTAACTGTCCATTGGTGAAGATAGGCTTTCCACATAAGAGGAGATTTGCCAGTAGTTGCCACGTTTAGCAGGCGGGTTGGCAAGCGCAGTTAGTCTTTGGTTTATGGCCTCTGTCCCACTTGAGTTTCTGCTATCATGCAGTTCTGTTTATTATCGTGTTTCAATTTGTAAATATTGGGAATATTGCAGTGAAAATGTTAGGTACAGAGGCATAATATCTTGATCTACACTACAAGTATGATACCAAGATACCAGGTATGATATTTAAGGCGATGGTTACCATTTACCATCAGGTAGGCCGTCAGTTTTTGGCATTTCAAGTTGTATACAAAAATATTTTATGAAATAAAACTATGTATGCACTTTTTGTGGATCTGCTTACCAGTAAACCGAATCCTTTAAGCCCATAATTCTCATTCCTTCCCTGATTTTCTTCTCCTTTTCCCCCACTACGAACATGAGCAGGTAAGTGATGAATTGTGATAGAGTCATCACCATGTACATGGGCATAATCACGCGGAAGATGACAAGCCAATCGCCAGTGTGCTGGCGTTTGGGGAACTGACGGAGGTCGATGCGGGGAGGTGGTATCGCTGATCCTGTATCCACCTGAAAGACATATTAGCAATAGCTGCTGATTGTATATTCCTCAATTAATTTCTTGGCATGTTTTTTAAGTAATTAAGCAGTTCCCCTAAATAAAGTCGACTGTTTCGTACAGATGTACCAATAAATCCATGTTTATTACTTCGGAAGCCAATTTTTTCAATAAATTAAGTATAAAAATGCTAATTGACTTTCGACAAAACTGCGAATCGGAGATCCTGCATTAAATTTATGTCCAAAAAATTTATTTGAGCGATAAAAACTGAACTACAGGTGGCATTATCAAAAGAATTAGGGAAGTATGGAGGATTACTAGCTTTTTTAACATTACAGATATATAACGCCGTAGCTTCATATAGATATAGATGTAGATTCATATAGATTGAAATACTTGCATCTTCTATCTCTGTCTAAATTTGTGGCTTTTTTAATGGATGATAATGGAATGGTAACCTCGCCTGCGCTAACGGTATACGCTAGCGAGGCACCAGTGAGGGACGATAGGTGAGAATGAAAAAGCAGGTCAGTTAGCCCATCGTGATTAATACATCTGGAATATTGCTAGCAATATTTTACCAGTCCCATTGCTAGCAAAAATGATATATTGCTAGCAATGGGACTGGTAGTCCGGATTACTAACAATCCCTTCCCCCCCTTATTTGAGACTTGCATTTTTTATCTCTGTCTGTAAACTTTATTTTACACCAAGATATTAGTAACTTCAAAATTAAAAAAAATTGTGTAACAAACATTCTTCCTTCACGAGTGTACTAACCTTGATTTTTATATAGTCTATCAGAGTCTGCAGAGCGAGGAACCCGGAGTAGTAGTATTGTAGAACAGGGCAGGCGTCTTCTCCGTGCATCTCTGATAGCGGGATGAGCTGCCCGCCTCTCGACCAGTCGGAAGACCAGTCCTTTACCGTACGCTCTCGGCATTTAGCAGGGGAGGTCGTCAGGGTGCGTGTAGAGGGAGTGCCAGAGTGAGAGGGATTGGTTCGGATTGTGTAACTGAAAAAGAGTGGATTTTATTTAGGTTACGGTAACCACTTACCATCAGGTGGGCCGTATGCTTGTTTGCCACCTCAGTGGTATAAAAAAAAAAGATCTAACAGAGGAATAAATTGTACAAAAGTCATCCACTTGGGTGACAATGTGCCATTTGTGTTTTTACTGTGAAGTAGCTATGGCTAAGTGCTGTGTGTTTCATGGCTGAGGTCATAATCATCATTAATCAATAAAAATAAAAATAAAGTCTTTTATTTCTTTCTAAGAACAAAACTATTTTTTTCTTATACAACTTAGAATGGCAAACAAGCTAACGGCCCACCTGATGGGAAGTGGTAACAGTCGCCTATAGACACGAGCAGTACCATGGACATAACAGAGTATACTGTTTCGCCCTTGATACTCCCCATGCGTTGCCATTCCTGAGGACTCAGGTGTTATTCCTCTGTACCCAGTAAATTCATGCCATAAGATTCATCAAGAAGGGTGGAACCCTTCAACCCACAACTGCTTCACGGTAGAAACACGAATGAGACAGAGGTGCCCAAGCAATCGACTTTTGTACAAAGTCTCCCTCTGGTAAGTACATTTCTAATCATCACTAGGCACTAAGATTGTTTGATTGATTTGGATTGTTTTATTTATCATCGTCATCATATCAGCCGTTAACTGTCCACTGCTGAACATAAGCCTTCCCATAAAGGAGAGTTTGCCAGTAGTTGCCACGTTTGGCAAGCGAGTTGGCAATCGCAGTTAGGTATTGATGTTTTAAGAGGAGCTTGGCTAAAATATGGCAGTAAAATTATAGGGTACGGACGCGTAACACCATAGTTCAGTGTCCTTGATCTATCACATGAACCTTCGCGTGGTCCCCTATGGAAACCATTTTCGTCGATTCTTGGTTAACTCTTCACGTCACACAGACTTCTAAGCTCATCCTTATATATCATTATTAATTATTGGTACTCCTTTAGTATATATTGTACCGATCGAGTTACCATTTCCACGTTTTCCATAAAAAATACTATATTTCTCAGGAACGACAAGGTTTGACAGATATAATGGTCATCACAGTATATTTTGTACGTCCATGGTGCTGTTCATGTCTATAGACGAAGTTTACCACTTACCATCAGGTGCTCGACAGCTTCTAAGTCATTAAAAAAATGTTGAATTCCATTTTCAATGATTTCTCATCTTGCCAATGACTCGGTCACTTACCGAAGTGGTTCTCCGAAAGCTGTGGGGTCTGTGTGAAAGATTACAGCGATGGGGAAGTTCCTGGTGTCGTTGTGGTAGGCATCGTTCAGCTCAGTGGTGTCGTTGTACCGTATCCAGCGAATGGCCTGCTGTCCAGACTCGAGAAGCATGCTGTTGATGTCCTCCAGGAAACTCTGAACAATTGTTTGTTTTTATATATATATATATATATATATATATATATATATATATATATATATATATATATATATATATATATATATATATATATAATATTTATGTATAACTTATGTGGGTGGAAAGACAACTAAATAGGAGTGGGAGTGGAGTGGACACATGACCTTGGTCTCAGATATCAATTCTAATGACTAATAACACGGTGTAAGAATGGCCTTGGATATCGTTTAATGGATGAATTTATGTATCCTTGTAAACAGATATTTTTTTCTACATGATACCAGCATGAAGTTGATGAATTTTTTCTAAAATCAAATTTGATTTTAGAAATCCTGTCTTTTTTTTTATACCACTGAGGTGGCAAACAAGCATACGGCCCACCTGATGGTAAGCGGTTACCGTAGCCTATGAACGCCTGCAATACCAGAGGCATTACGCGCGCGTTGCCGATCCTGAAGAAACCTCTTTACCCCCCTTTTGAAAAACCCCATGCTGTAATCTCTTGGGAAAACCTCGGCAGGGAGCTCATTCCATAACCTGAGTGATCCTGCCATAAAGCAGCTTGCTTGCAGGTTGTGTTACAGTGTAAAAGGTGAGATATACTAGTTTAAGTATCTCATGTAGGTATCTCAAGATCTTTATTTTACAAGAGAAGTAACGTATTGTTACAATCCTAGCATATGGACATATTATTGCTGAATAGCAATCATATTTATTTCTATTTAAATCAGCTGCATTTAGCTAGCTAAATTACTGCCCAGCTACGGACCTGGTTTCTGCCCACCGGTCTGGTCAGTAAAATCAACTAGTTGGATTTATCATTCGGGCTCAATAAAATCCTGGACCAAGGGTTTTGCACGTCGCAAATCAAGTGGACCTTCTAGTTAGTTAAAAGTACAATATATGTAAATTAAAAAACTTAATAATAGAACACTATGTAAAAATATTAAATAAATAACTTTGGTGTGTGGTAAAAAGTTTTTTTTTTTTTTTTTATATTAAACAAGTGTCTGACACTACTAGTACGAGTTATGCCTCAATGTATCTTGCCATCACGTGTACCGTAAGTTTCCCGTACATTCCATCTATTAAAAAAAGTTCAGTAACTTCCTATAACGCACGTCTATGACATTTTTCTACTAGATAAAAAAAAAATGGCGTCATTGTCTATTGTGAATACTTTCACCTCAGACTACTAAAGTATTCTGTCTTTGTGTTTATGTAAGCACATTGTTCACAGCACACACGCGACCTATGACCTCCAAACATTAACCCTCAAAATATCGATACACGCAAAAGCGAACGTTTTACAAAGCGGTTATAACAAAAGTTTTAAAAGAGCAACGCCCTAGACAGCTAGACTAGGCAAATTGTGTACATATTTCACTAATTAGGCACATTTCACTTGAACCAACTTGTTGTTTGATTTAGTTCATATCTGATACCTATATATATATATACCTACCTACTTAATATTATCAGCATGTGTGTAAATAGAGTCTAAACTAGCTAAACCAATCCCAGCCCGTAAAAAGCATGGGTGCGGTGGATATCGATCGCTAATTCGGCTCATAGTCGAATTGCCTAATCAAAATGTTTCAATTTGCAGTGATTAGCTTACATTAGGTCTTTTTATAAGCAAATTACGGTTTTGTCTATTTTTGGCTTTGACTAAAGACAAAAATATCTAGGTATAAACGATGCAAATTTACTTTCCTTTGTGAAGGAAGCATAGCCGTCACAATTTAACTTTCTTCTCCTGGAAAGAAGGGTAGACTTTGGCGGCTTAAATACTGACAAATCGACCTCCAAATATAACGGTGATATGTTTTTCATCCGATCCAAAATAACGGTGATATGTTTTTGGGATTACTCTGATACTGCAGTGCACCTAAATGTATGTGATGAAATTATTTATTTGTAGTATATGACAATACCTACACTGACTAGAGTATACATATATGAGGGTACGTAAGTAAAAAATGTCAATAACGGTCAGTATCGCGGGAGCGCTGCGTGAGGACAGACGTACCGCGGCGTATGTGCATAATCGAGTCAGTGACAAAAAGAACAATTCTTAGTTCGCCTTTATACACAATATTACCTAATATTTTTGTTAAACACATTATTTTGCTATTCCAAAGAGTAGACATAATTGGTCAACTAATTAAGATACATACTTTACTAAATTTTGTTCTTAAATTTGTACGCGTAAATTTTGTAAGTAGAAAAACTAATACATCTTGTAAATGGCGTATCAAGATTATTATCTTTTATTCCATATTTTAAGTTTAACCTTCAGGAACACTACTGTGAAAACTATATCTAATTTGGTGAAGTAATTTTTGCGTAATGCTGGAATAAACACATTTTTTTTTAAAAAAAGATTGTTTTGTTTTGTTTTTTATATTCTATGTACATATCTACTGCAGACTTCATCTAATTATAATTTTATTATATTTGTAAGCTTACAGATAAAATATTTTAAAGATTACACAAAGTATTACATACCACAGTCCCGTTGGCTTTCAACCAATCAGCCACCACCGCGACCGAGTTCATCTCCGGGAAGGTGTCGTGATGGATGCGGAGTAAGCGGCCAGCCTCCCTCACTTCCGGGAAGTTGGGGTTCGGCACCAGCATCTTCAGGAAGATCAACACGCCCAGCGAGTACAGGGGCACCAGCACTTCCTGATAATTCAAATATTCAGATCAGATTTGATAAATACTGTTCCCTACGGCTTTGTATGCGTGGATTATAATAAAAAGAAACCTATGCGTGTTAACCTAGTACGTGAGGGTTGGAGGGGAGGGATTGTTAATAATGCAGACTACCAGTCCCATTGCTAATAATATACCCTGTCAGGTCGACCTCCACGTGGTTTCTACTTGAAACCGTCGTGCTGAATTCCAGGTGTATTTATTACAATGGGCTAACTTTTTTTTACTGACCTGCCTTTTCATTCTCACCTATCATCCCTCACTGGTGCTGCCAGCGTATACCATTAGCGTAGACGGGGTTTAGTAATAGATGATAATGGCAATGGAACTGAATTATCATCCGTTAAAAACAATTAATTTGATTTAAAAACTAAAATACTGAATCGATTTTGATAAAATCTGTAAACATTTTTTTTATCCAACTTAGAATGGCAAACAAGCTGACGGCCCACCTGATAGAAAGTAGTAACCGTCGCTTATACACATGTGCAGCACCATGGACATAACAGAGTATACTGTTTCGCCCATGATACCCCCCCGCCCCCATGCGTTGCCATTCCTGAGGACTCGGGTGTTATTCCTCTGTACCCTGTAAATTCACGCCATATTTCTGTAATTTACGCCACCCTTCCAACCGAAACACAGCCATGCAAACACAACTGCTTCACGGTAGAAACACGAACGGGACAGAGGTACCCAAGCAAACGACTTTTGTATAAAGTCTCCCTCTGGTGAGGAACATAACCTATAAATATACATATATACTGATAGAGTTACGAAGTAACATAAAAAAAAGCGATTTGAATACCTCTTTCTTTATGAAGTCGGTTAAAAATTAACATCTTTGTTTCTTTCCTTATGGCGTCCTAATAGTCATTAGCCACCAAGCGTCATGAAATTTGATACACAAATAGGGCACTTTTCTAATTTACTAGCTGTATCCTGCGGCCTGGTCCGCGTGTATCATGTATGCCTATTAGAAAGGAGAGTAAGCATATGTATGTACTTACGGCGAGGGTCTTCCTCGTATCCCGTTTCTTGAGCAGCAGGTTACGGACCACTGTGGCCCACAACTGGGGCCAGAAACGAGCCGGTGGTCGGGTCCCCATCGCGCCCCGCAGCCGGCTACCTATCGCCACGTAATCCGCCTCGCAGGACCCCTTCTCTGCACATTTCCTGAAACAAATCATGGGAAACATTAGGAATTTATTTTAGATCTATAATCGCACCTTTGCCTTTGCATGGGATTCTATTTCTACTTCCATTTCTATTTGTTCTCCATTAACCAAATGTCGTCTGTAAGAGATTGCCTAAGCGATAAGACCGCCTTTTGTACCTTTATGTGTATATTTTGATCTGTACTCCATGCTACTGTATTTCACTTGAATTTTCTAATTGTCATTGTTTATTTTTATGTTTTTGATGCAATAAAGAGTTAAATAAATAAATAAAACCAGTTATTTTAATTTAAGAACCATTGAATCGATTACGGTAAAATTTCTTTGAGAAGTATATCCTTACATAAATGAAATACGAATCAGTTTAGGAATAATAAAGTTCTGAGGTAAGGTAAAAAAAATACAACTGAATCGGTAACCTCCTTTTTTGAAATCGGTTAAAAGTAAAATGAATTAAAATATTTCAGCATACAGCATTACAGTTGAAAATAATATTAATTCGTCTTTGTAATTATTAAACAAAAGTAGCTATATCCCATGGCTTCGCTCGTCATTTTTTATTAATCTATCGCAAAGTACGAGAAATTATTATCTGTTGAGAAGAGCCCGGAAGAAATGCAAGTTATTTTTTTTTTATTTATTTATTTATAAAAGACACACCAACAATATGCTCACAATAATTAAGCAGACAATATACAATGTTATTAGTAAGTACAAGAGAAAAACTACTATTAAAAAATGCTTAAATCTAAGTTTGAACAAAAACATCTCACTCCTCTCTACCAAGCTTAAGGCCATATGAACACATCAATGAAAGGTGTATACAGCTCTCACAGATAAGCGTCAATGTACACTAACTAACTTTTATACAATTAGAGAAGACCTAATTACCAATCCATATTATTAATAAGCCTAGTAAACTGCACTAAAGAATTATCAAAGATGTCGATATCATGGTCAACGTTTACGGCTTTCTTATAGGATGATAACATTCTGTTGAGGGGAGTATTGGATTCTAAGTTAGTACGAGAAGCGCATGTTGAAAATGTGTTAACTATTTTAGCAGATCTGATATTGAAATATATAAATATAATTTTTACTTTCTGTCTCTACATAAAGTGTCCTATGTGCTAAATTAGCATCTAACCTATCCATTCACAAAATTTAATTCAAATCACTTTACTAGTTCTCGCGTGAAATAGTAACAAATATCCATTCGTCTATCCATTGTTACAAACCATCGCATTTATTACATTGATAAGAGAAACCCAATAAATATAATATTTCACCTTAATAAAACCACCCCTGTTTTGTTTAACGAAGTCATATCGACCCCAGTTTGTACTACCCGTGCATTAGGGGTTGCCAGCGTAGCAACAATGGTGCTAGTCCCCTCGGCGCCTTGCACCATGCACCCTCCACTTCCGGGTGCCAGGTGCGCCACCCGTCCATTATCATTTTGCATACAGTGACAAATATATATTTTCATTATTAGGGGAGTAATCGACTTTTTAACCGACTTCAAACAAGATGGAATTATCAATCTCAATTCGGTCGTATTATTTTTATATTTATTACCTCATAACTGCGACATTTGGGGGGTGAAACGTATTGTTATGAAATGGGCTCTAACAGCCCATTGCTAACAATACACCCTATCAGGTCGACTTCCACGCGGTTCCTCCTGGAAACCATTGCGGTTAATCCTTTATGACATCTTCACGATGGGCTAACTAACCTCCTTTTATCTTCACCTAGCATCTATCACTGGTGCCCCGACAGCGTATACCGATAGCGCAGGCGGGGTTACCATTACATTTCCACCAATAAAAAAAAACTACGTCATTTATAAACTGATTTGGAAAACTCTTCTTGTATTTGAAAGGACAATACATATATTTATAGATTATTCCAATAGATTTTTTTTAAAATCGATTCAGTAACTTTTTTTTTATAAACACGGAGCAAACGAACACGCGGCTCACCTGACGGTAACTGACTACCGCCGCCCACGATCACCCACAACACCAACGGCACTGCAGGTGTGCTGCCGGCCTTTTAAAACGAAATATGCTCCTTTCTTGAAGGTTATGATATCGTATCGGAAATACAGTTGCCGGTAACTCAATTTTTAAATCAAAATAACCAAATCTAGAATTGAAGACGGTTTTTTTGTTAAAGAGAATTTTAAATTAAGAAATATACTCACCAGGTTCTACCCAGGTTGTCTGTAAGAGATTGCTTCTAGCGATAAGGCCGCCTTTTGTATATGCACATTCTGTATAAATACTCCTTGTATACATCTCTACTGGGCGCAATAAAGAGTTTATTATTATTATTATACTCATAGATAGCCTACAGTAACCGCTTATTATCTGGTGGAAACGTAAATAAATAAAAATAATGATACTTGTCCCTTTTTTTTAATTCACAGACTTTTTAATGAGCCTGAAGGAAAGTGTCCATGTCACGCCGTCGTTGTACTTGGCATTGATATTGGAGAAAAGCAGGAAAATAAAACAAAAAAAGTTTAAGTGCAAATAAAAAAAAATCCTTGTCCAAAGTTTACACAGAATTTCAATTAAAGTTCTTTAAAAAGGTTATTGAGCGGAAACTTTATACAAGGAAACAGAGTGCAAGATGAAGGATAGCTGAAATAGAAAAGGGCATGGAATTCTCGCCTCGCCAGCACTATTGGTGTACGCTAGCGGGGTATCAGTGGGGGACGGCAGGCGTGTATGAAATCAGTAATTCGTGATTAATTTACCAACAAGACTATTATGAACACTACATCTCATCACATTAGAAATCTCTAAAATTATCAGTGTTTCTCTTTTTTTTTTATACCACTGATGTGGCAAACAAGCATACGGCCCACCTGATGGTAAGTGGTTACCGTAGCCTATGAACGCCTGCAATACCAGAGGTATTAAGCATGCGTTGCCGACCCTAAAGAAACCTCTTTATCCCCCTTTTGAAGAACCCCATGCTGTAGTCTCTTGGGAAAACCTCGGCAGGGAGCTCATTCCACAACCTGAGTGTTCGTGGGAGGAAACATCTCTGAAACCGCGCAGTACGCGACCATTGAGGCTGTAGGACATGAGGATGCACTCCCTGTCGATGGCGAGCCGTACGATGGTAGAAAGTGGCTGTGGGCATCTCTACTATATTATACATATAAACCTTCCTCTTGAATCACTCTATCTATTAAAAAAAATCGCTTCAAAATCCGTTGTGTAGTTTTAAAGATTTAAGCATACATAGGGACGGACAGACAGCGACAGCGACTTTGTTTTATACTATACTATGTAGTGATTAACCGTAACGATTTTCAAAGGGGACTGCGTGATAGCCAATTTGACAGGGTAGGTACAAAATAAAGATTTACTAGAGGGAGACTTTGTACAAGTCTTTTGCTTGGACACCTCTATCTCATTCGTGTTTCTACCGTGAAGCAGTTGTGTTTGCATGGCTGTATTTCGGTTTGAAGGATGGGATATGGCAGTGAATTTACAGGGTACAGAGGAATAATGTCTTAGTCTTTAGTAAAGGCAACGAGTGGGGGGCATCAGGGGCGAAACAGTATAATCTCTAATGTCCATGATACTGTTCATGTCTATAGGCAACGATTACCGCTTTCGATCAGGTGGGCTGTCAGCTTGTTTGCAAAAAAAGTAGCATAAAAATAAAAAGGTCTATAATTTTTTTCATACAAATACACCGATCGCCTGGATCTAGAGCTATGCTATCCTGTATTATGAGGAACCAGGCAACGAACATATGGGGCACAACCTAGTACACCAAGACCCGAGACAATTAAGAAAAATTTGTTTCCTAAATAGATGATGTAGTGAAAAAAATTGAAAATGGAATGTTGCGTTGGTTTGGAGATTGGGAGAGAATGGATGAAAGAAGAATTAAGAGAGATTTAACGAGTAAGAATGAAAGAAAAAAGAAGAGTATATGTCGACCAGATAAAATACGTGCTAAAGAAGGGCCAAATTAATAGTACCCTAACCAGGGAGCGTGTATGAATAGATTGATTAATGTGAAAGAAGCGCAAGAGGTTTGTTTGAATCGAAGCATTTGGCGTTCCATTGTTTTTGCCTACCCTAATGCGAGACAGGTGTGACCGATATGTATGTTTCCTAAATTGGCCAGACTGGGATCGAACCTGGCACCTCATTACGCAGATCGCTGCCCACGGATGACGTTAAATGAAAATATCATTTATTATAATAACAAAGTGTTGGAGCACCGTAATAACTCTGCCAACTCATGGAGAAAGAAGCCAAAAGCTTAATTGTAATATATAAATAAAACGTGACATCAAGTTTATGCACATTTATTGCTTTCTCTCTAAAAACTTGCAAATTAAACTAATTATAGGTTTGCGGCTAGATGGCGCTGGGTAACATGTCCGATAATATTTATTTATATCAAATTTAATAGATTATTAATGCATCATTAGATTGTAAAGATATTAATACACTAAATGTTATTTATATATGTGTTGTATGTGAGACCTCCTCTCCAGAGGGAGACTTTGTACAAAAGTCGATTGCTTGGGTACCTCTGTTCTATTCGTGTTTCTACTGTGAAGCAGTTGTTGCATGGCTGTGTTTCGGTTTGAAGGGTGGGATATGGCGTGAATTTACTGGTTACAGAGGAATAACACCTGAGTCCTCAGGAATGGCAACGCATGGGGGGTGTCATGGGCGAAACAGTATACTCTGTTATGTTCACGGTACTGCTCATGTCTATAGGCGACGGTTACCGCTTTCCATCATGTGGGCCGTCAGCTTGTTTGCCATTCTAAGTTGTATAAAAAAAACTGTGACTGATGTATGTATATTTTTTGTATATTTGGTATGGGCGATATCGAATCGAAAGATAACTTTTTTTTCGTTCTTATTTTTTAAAGGAAACTAATATATAAATATCGATGCAATACTGATATTACCTGTGCCACAGATAATACAATACTACTGTCTATTC